TCTCGCACTATTCTATTTGTTCTATACTGTCTTTTTGCTGTTGAACCCCAGTTTGCCTGTACATCTGCTTTGTTTTGTATGCGTTTTCTATGTATTTAGAGCTCTTCTACTTCCGGGCTCCAGCTCGTGCGAGGGGGGGTGTTAGTACCCATCGGGTCACGTGCTTGACCGCCCTCGCTTTCTGCCCGGTAGACATATAGCTAGCCTTAGCCGATAGGCACCCAATTCATCCAACTAACAACACACACCAAAATCCCCGCATAGTCACGTGAGACTGATGTGGTTAGGTCTAACAATTTCATGGGTTCTGAGCACATTCATTCCTACCAGGTCCCTTCAGCCTTTCGGGATCTCTCCCAAAGCTTCCCTTTGGCTTCAATATATTCCTGTCACATTGCTCTGTATGTCCATGGTCTCGTCTATACTAGCTAGTATTAAGGAAACCCAGTTAGCAAGCGCAACAAAAAAATGGGATGGGACGTCCAAGACAAGTTCATAATACGATATTAGAACTCTCATTGAGGATTATCCTTTGAGCTCTCTGGGCTGTAGTTGCACAATCTCACAGGCCCAATCTCTTTTCGAACAAGTTCACTAGGGTTATTGGCAAGAACATTCGTATAAAATTATAGATGCTAGTGGACGAAAGTTTGGATTGTCTTGCTCTTATTGCGGCTCTTATATAAGATTTAAAAAATGCCATCGTAGGTCTCAGACATGTTTATTTCGTTTTAGGCAATGAGTACGGTACTGACCAAGAAATAGCTACAAGTACGTTTATGTATAGAAAGTCACGTGCGCTTCCATTTTTGGACATCGATAAGATCGGACCATAGGCGGTGTGGTTTTTCTGCCGCTTTTTTTTTTTTTGCGAACGGCCTAGGAAAAATTGTCTGCGATCACTAAAGCATAGCAACAGAAAGAAAAGAAATTCGAGTTACAATCATGGGCCAAAAGCGACAACGCGACTCCAAAGGGCCTAATGCCCAAGCAAACAAGAAGAAGAAGGCCGGCAATACGACGAACAAGAATGATTCCTGGGACGGCTACGTCGGCCTCGAGGACTTGAACTGGAAGGGCGTCCCTCTCCCGGATCGCATTGAGGATGCTGGTGGATTTTTTGGTCTGGAAGAGATTGATGGTATTGATATTGTGCGACCGGATGGCAATGGAGAAGTTCGATTTAAGGTATGGTTGTTGTCTTTCGGAAGGTTGGGGGCGCGAAAGAAGCTGACAGTAATTAGGCCAAACCTGGTACGAAAAAAGAATCGATATTGAAAAAGAAAGCGCCAGAGGAAACCAATTTCGACGACTGGGATGGATTTAGCGATGGCGAGGCCGAGACACCGAATGACAATTCGACTCCTGCGGACGAGGAGGAAAGCCCCGAAGAGAAGGAAAGCAAGGACCAGGGATCAAAGAAAGAGCTGAAGAAGGAAAATAGGAATGATAAAAGGGATGGGAAGAAGGACAAGAAGGAACAGAAAGAGAAACCCGCAAAAAAGGATCAAAAGGAAAAGAACGCGAAGAACCAACAGAACAACGACATTAAGCCAGGGCTCTCCTTCGCAGCTTTAGAAGAGGAAAAGGAGGATGATGGTGTGGATGTCTCGGCCTGGGAATCTCTCGGCCTGGCGCCAGAAATTCTCACTGGACTCTCGAAAATGAAGTTTGGGAACCCAACATCGGTCCAAGAAAACTGTATACCTCAAATCCTAGACGGTCATGATGTTGTCGGAAAGGCGTCTACGGGATCTGGAAAGACATTGGCATTTGGAATTCCGATACTTGAACATTACCTGGAGCGGATGCGGAAGAACTTGAAAAAGAAGTCTGGTGAGAAGTCTGAGAAGACAACTCATCCGATTGCACTCATTATGTCTCCTACCAGAGAATTAGCGCATCAGCTGTCGAAACATATCAGTCAACTGGCCTCGCTCACACCTGGTGCTGAACCCAGAATAGCTCTTTTAACTGGTGGTCTGTCGATGCAGAAGCAGCAACGTTTACTGTCCGGTGCTGATATCGTCATCGGTACGCCTGGTAGAGTGTGGGAGATTCTCAGCACGGGACAAGGCTTGATTCAGAAAATGCAGAAGATAAAGTTCCTGGTTGTTGATGAAGCCGATAGACTGCTCAGTCAAGGTCACTTCAAGGAGTTGGGAGAAGTCCTGGACGCTTTGGAGCGCGTGGAGACATGGGACGTGCCGGAAGTCGAAGACAAAGAGTCTGATGAGGGAAAGACCAATCCGATGGCAGAGAGACAAACTCTGGTTTTCTCCGCTACATTCCACAAAGATCTACAGCAGAAGCTATCAGGAAAAGGACAGTGGAGAGGAGACGATCTGATGGACAAGAAAGAGTCGATGGAATACCTCCTGAAGAAGCTTCAATTCCGCGAAGAGAAACCCAAATTCATTGACGTGAACCCTGTCTCGCAGATGGCCGAGAATCTCAAGGAGGGTATTGTCGAATGTGGACCGATGGAGAAGGATCTCTACCTTTACACACTCCTCCTATACCATCCCAAGCACCGTACCTTGGTCTTCACAAACTCCATCTCTGCCGTCCGCCGACTCACTCAATTCCTCCAAGCCCTCCAACTTCCAGCCCTCGCCCTCCACTCCTCCATGGCGCAAAAGGCCCGTCTCCGCTCTGTTGAGCGATTCTCCTCTCCTTCTGCCGACCCCAGCTCGATTCTAGTAGCAACCGACGTCGCCTCCCGTGGTCTCGATATCAAGGGTATCGACTTCGTCGTCCACTACCATGCCCCTCGCACAGCAGACGCCTACGTCCACCGATCCGGTCGTACAGCCCGTGCCGGCGCAGCTGGTAAGAGTGTTATCATTTGCGGTCCGGAAGAAATGGTTGGTGTTGTCCGTCTCGCAGCAAAGGTACATACGAATATGGCCCAGAAGAACGGCCAGCCACCCAAACGTCTCCCACTTGAATCACTCGAGCTCGACCGCCGAATTGTCAACCGCGTGAAACCACGCATCAGCATCGCTGCTCGTATCATTGATTCTCAAATCGCCAAGGAGAAGGTGTCTTCGGAAGATAATTGGCTACGCAACGCGGCAGAAGACCTTGGCGTCGAATATGACAGCGAGGAATTCGATAAGGGTGCAGGTCGTGGCCGTGGCCGTGGCCGCGGTCGTCACCAGCGCGAGAAAGAGGTGGGAAATATTACCAAGGCTGAGATGGCGGGACTGCGAGCGGAATTGAAGAGTTTGCTCTCGCAGAGGGTGAATGTGGGTGTTAGTGAAAAGTATTTGACATCTGGACGGGTTGATATCGATGCTTTGCTACGGGGAGAAGGGAATGCTGCGTTCTTGGGACAGGTGGATCCATTGGGATTCTGATTGTATATACAAGTGTTTATACAAAGTACATGTACACTATTCAGATAACTGCACTAACACTTTCCGTAACGCATTGAGCTGATTCTGTAAATCAATAGTTCTCGTCCGTCTCGCCTTGCCCTTTACTGTTGCTTTAAATCTTGATGAACATCCCCCCCACCCAAAACATCATAGTATCTGCCAACGTCTTCACCGCTAGATTTCTGGTCATCTAGAGAGAGAATAGCATAGAATAGCGAAAAGGCGACAAAGTATCTCAAGGGTCAACCCTTCGCTGCCCAGCATTTCAAAGGGGTCTACCCCAATATACCAGCACATAGTGAATGATATTCTGTCATAAGTATCGCTAATTGACTTGTAACGATTTTGATTAGTACTGAGATAGTTCTAAGCACGGCCAAAATAGCGATGCAACTCGCAATTACAACTCTTCCACGTCGCACCGCACTCGTAACAGAACCCGTTCCCGCAGCGGCAACTGTCATTGTAAAGGAATCAATTCCAATTAGCACAAAATCCATAATGGGGAATGGGTAAGTACGAATAACCTACACAATGTGGTTGCAGCCTGCCTCAAGCTCGACCCAATATTCGCACTGACAGCACTGCTGCAATTTCAATTTTTTCATCCACTGCAAGGCGTCCTCGTCGTCAAACTGGCACCCCAGCCACGGAAAATGGGTCTTTTGGCACGTCATGCACGTCCAGCGCAAGCAACTCACACAGTATCGTATATTTGTGCCCGGTGACTCTGTGTTGGGACCGAGATACCGCGCGCAAGTTGAGTTGGAGCAGTGCGTCCGGAATGAATCGTTATGGTAAGTCAATTTGTCCTCAGATTTTTGTTTGAGATCGGGAACCGGGTCAATGATGGGTTGGAGCAGGGTCTGGGGAATCTCAGTGTGGCAACATTGCGGTGGGAAGACGGATTCGTCGTCGAAGGAGAGTTGAATGAGCTTTATCACGCATGTATGGCAGTAGTGATGGGAGCAAGGGGTTTTAATTGCTGTGTCTGGTGGTACGATCTCTGAGCACGAGATGCATTCGAGAAGCTCGGACTTGGAGTGTTCAGGTTCAGGCTCAGGCTTAGGTTCGATTTCGAGTTCGGGTTGTTCTTGGGGAACAACGTTCTTATCGGAGCTTTTAACTTGAACCTGGGTTAGCTGGTCGGATCCTGTTCATGAGTTATATTAGTAAATGAAAGCAGCCATCTCTTACGAAGCGCAACGATAATTACCAAAAAAATCGGCCTCCTGTCCTGCTGCTAGACGACGCCAGGATGCAACAGCAGGTTCGTCGTTTCGGCCACGGAAAGCAGCCCTATTTCCTCTACCCCGTCTAGGTGCAGTGGCGACACGCTCCGCTACTTTGCGATCTTCCGAAACAGTGGTATAGTTGTCGATTTCTTCCTGCCAGAGACACAGGGCTAGCTGAAAATCCGAGTCCGCTTGCGTGTCTATGGTTGTATCAAGTATGCTTTCGGTGTCATGTAGAAGGATTCTGAAGATTTCTGCTTGACTGGCTTCGTCCATTTTACTGATTTGGCGAAGCTGATCTGGATATTGTTGGGTAAAATGGTAAAATAGAATAATTGGCGATACATTGTGGTAGGTGATAAAGAGGAGAAAAAAAATGAAGGGTTGATATTCTTTGAGCAGTCACTGCTACCTCAGCATCTAAGACACTACACTAAAGGTATCTATTTACGGATACTTTATTGTTCTTCTTCCTGATAGCCGGTCACCTGTCCTACATCTGTGTTAGCGAACTCTACTATATGACTACAATGTAGAATCCGACAACCAGAGGCCATACTTCTGTTGCCTGTCTACAATAGTAGCTTGACAGGTTGTACCCAGACCATGAGACATGATAATGCAACTCATGGCGGTTGAGTAACACGAAGTCGTCTGGCACTAGGATTCGGGTGATGAGAATCTTGCATACAAATCGTGACGACAACAAGATCAATCATGAGGCCGGAAAACATTCCCACGTTTAGAAAGACGGTTTATATAACCACAACGCTCAGCCTAATGAGATCTTTCTTTAACGTCATATTAAGTCTCCGAATCCTTCATGGCGGTGATCGATAGGGCCCTGACGGCGAAGCCACCCAGCGAACGGTACATTTTTGATGGGAACGGAGCAAGCCTAGCTCTCATGGAGATAAAATTCGTTTTAAGAGAAACTCGGCTCTCGCTGGACTGTCAGTCTATCTAGGCAAGTCCGATAATCTCGATTGCGGAACTCGACAACACAAAGTCGCTCGACAGCCCAAATGAGAAATTTCAGGAAGGCTACCTACCGACTAAAGTGGTCTAGTCGTTCGAGCTTTTTTATACGAAGCTAGATGCTTTGCAGCGTGTGCAGCAACTGATCAAGCAGTATGAATGTTAAAATGGATGTAAACGCCATCGCTCTAAACTATCGACAGCCTTAAGAGGACATATCTGTCTTATTACTTGCGAGCCGTGTCCCACAACTACAAGCGGCACGGTGTTGATTTTGTTTTACTCGAACGCGACGGAGACCTGCTGTGATGACAGGTCGTTACGGTTCGCAATCCAACGCTGATTATGCCGAATTGATATACACTAACTTTTCATCGACGATGAGTACCAGAGTTGTATAAAGGTTCTCTAGCATTTGGAAGCCCACTCATCTCGATGCATTGTTTACTTAACAAAGGGTTTAATTACACGTAGCATTGCCCGAGGGCTGCATACATTTAGTCTCAAATCAATACCGGCAGTGTGACCGTTCAGGCTTGTGTTTGAACACTAGAGTTCGCCAAACGGACTGCAAAATATTAAGATACATGTAATAGGCTGGGAGTGCATTTTCTACATTTGTAGACTTCTCTGATCCCCGGAGACTATCTTCAATATTCAATAAATCTGGCATTTAGCAGGGCATTAGTCAAACTGAGCTCATTGAACATTATTATTCCTGCATTCTAGGCTTAGCATAGCCATTGGCAGCCCCACCCTTGTCATCAGAGACTATTTGTTGCTGTTCGGTATCAATATCAGCGAGAGGCTTTTCCGGTGTCATATTGACTAGTATAATCATGGGTAGCAGAGCGGCCCCGAGGAGTCCGAACGTCACACAGCTGAACAGATAGTCAGTTAAATGCCTCAATAAAAATATAAGATAATATTGGAGGACGCACAATCCAACAAGAGGGCTACTCTTTGTCTGAGAGTTCATGGCATAGGCAATGGCTTGACCAACAGCTTCAATACATCTAAACGCCGCGCCATTGCGGACGTTCTCTTTTGGAATGTCAGCATGCGAACCCTTATTTTCTCCTAATCAGGCTTGGGTGGGCTGACCACCTACCTTGTGCGCTTGTGCCGAAAGACGACAGCAGCCAATACATATATGACTGGGATAATGGACCAGTTGTCTGTACAAAGAAATATGGCAAGAAAGATGAAGCATATGGTTCATCATCCCAGTCAATATGGCCAGGATTATGGTGGTTGAACTTGACTTGCTTAACAATAGACCAGACATAGACACCCACATTCAGGAGAACAACAATGTAGAGACCGAATTGAGCGCGACGACGTTGATTCAGGTACTTTGCATCGAGGATAAAGCCGAGACCAAAGCAGCCAACACTGTTGAGAGGTATGTTAGGTTCATACGGACTGTGAAGTAAAATGCTACACTCACATGCAGAAGAATGGCGAGATAAGGGAGGAGAGGGCGCGGGCACGGACAGAAAAGTAGGTTGCTAGATAGGTTGACCAGCTACCACTGCTCACTTTTATTAGTTTTGTTTTGTTTTTTTTTCTTTTTCTTTTTCTTTTTCTTTTGCCCTTATTCAGATGACGAGAATTGCACTAGACATCCAGCGTACCTGTAGAAGAACGACCATACTGCCCAGAGAGCAGACAGTAAAACAAGCTTTGAAGTCAAGGTCTTGATAATTTGCTTCATCTCCTTCTTAGTAGAAAGAGCCTCCGCCATGACAACCCTTGTGCCGTCAGATCGGACGACTCGTTCCAAGGGAGAAATGAAAAACGCAAACGGAAAACTGAAAGCCTGAGTCAACGCTTGAATCCTGAGCCCGCCAGAGTGATAATACAATGGTATACTGACGCGAGACACTCAATGATAATAAATGGAATGTAGGTATCAGCTGTCAACCCGTTGCTGACACTTTCCTCATGGTTCTGTGATAGACTAGGAAATACGATATCATCAGAAGAGTCGATCGTTGAGACTTCTCAACAACTCACTTTATTGAACCCCCAACTAGCTGTCCAAGGTTTCGGGATACAATCCAAAGTGCCAAATACTTCCCACGAGCTCCCGAAGGTGCAAGCGTCAGAATAGTCCCGGCCTCGGCAACGTACCAACAGCCAGCGCCTATACTACCAATTGCACCACCAAGAATAAGATACTGAAGAAACAGACATATGTTAGCTCAATCTCACTGGTGTGTAAATTTTGTTGGCTCACCCATTGGTTTCCAAACTTGCTGTTGCAATAGTATGATGAGCCCCGAATGGGGAATGACATCGATCCAATCACTAAAGCCCACTTCGTACCAAGCTTATTGGTAATAGGGCCACCCATGAAGCAGGCTGGTGCGCATGTCGCCATTAGCACGCTGACTACTTCTAACGGAGTTGGACTGTATACATACTGACAGCTAGTGCCGCATATCCGACCGCGGACGCAATGTTTGATATTTGAGGAGTTGCAAGGCCGCCACCACCGAGGCCTGAAAATTTTCAGTTAGCCATTCAGTGGTCATATCATTGCATTAAAAATTAATTACTTACCACCGATGGCATCGCCCATAGCTGGTCCACAGAAAGCTTGAATACTCATAAGGAGCATCTGTGTCAAGCTATTCTGCCATATTCGCTTCCACAGAGGGACGGTGGACTTATACTCGTCCATGTTGACTGCTACTTGTGCGGTGCCGGTTGGTCTAGATGTCAATTCACCTGGCTGAAGAGATTCATCTTGCGGGGGAAAGACCGTCTTCGAGTCGGCCATTGTGTAGTGTTATAGAAGTCTTTTAGCTAGCAAAATTCGCTTGAGAGCTGAAAAGAATATGCTTAGATTCTTTTTCTTTTTTTTCTTTTCTGCGCGGTCTATATATACTACATCACTATATCACCATATCAGGGCCAAATCGAGACCAAATCGTAATATAAAAAGAATATCTCGCAATTCATAGTAGGTCTATTTTCTATGGGAGTAGTGGAAGGTCCACGCGGGAAAAGGATGGCATTTTGTCTGGACTTGTCATCCCATTAAGGTAGTGCAGGTCATTGGGATTTGCACCAGGGTGGGCCTAAAGATGCAATATCTAGCCAACACAATCCCTGCATGGAATTCTTAGGAATGCCTTGTGGAGATGTCCCACTGATAAGCCTCTTAATACATTGATAGAACGAGCTTAACTATTTCACGGGCTCAGTAGCTAGAAGATATTAACGAATTGATATCCCTATCTAAACCAACTAGTAGCCATCGACGAGAATATCGGACCTGGAGAAGAAAAGAAGATAAGAGGCAAGTCTATTTACATGAAGAAGTCCCATATGGTTGTGTGTGGTCTCGCTAAGCAGCTTGTTTTGTCTTGATTGCTTCCATGGTATTGTTTGCCGTGTTGATGATGTTTGCTGATGAAGGCGCTGGGCTGAGCTGTTACATTCCTTGCTATTTCCTATAAAGAAACCCTAAAAATGTGCTTGGTCTAGTTCCTCGTGTCCGCTGGCAGTAAGATCGACATTATCACTAGTGTAACCTGTAGTTTTTAGACTTTTTTCTATTACTGTTCCTAGGTCACCCTGCAGAGGATGGTTTTACCCTCTAGGTAAGTTATGGGGCTCTTCATTTCATCATTGTTATCATTATGACAAGTGCGCATGGAGCTGTAGGTTATTATCAAACAGTCCAGGTGTAACCGTCCAAATCTATTTCCATTGATTGTCCACGCTCATGCTCTGGCAGTTTATCCAGTCAGGATGTAATTTTTTTTGAGACAGCTGGATACCTAAATCTTTAAAGCGTACTACACTATAAATAGTTCTTTCCCAAAGAGAAGTCGGGAAAAAAGGCCAGGAGGGAGCATAGACATCCTGGCACTGCACGGTTATTAGTAAAAAAGCCAGTACTGTTTGATCCGTCGGGTTAGAACTGCTCTGTATGTCAATATTTTGGATGGTTGCCATTTGTCAGCTGTGGGGTAAGGTGTCATAGCCCGGAGAGATCTCTTAAATTCCTGATCTAATCATCCCGTGAATGCGTATAACTACAACCCTCTATATCTATGCTTTTTCCAGACAAGTGCCACTTTCAACCTACTGGTATTTTCATGATATCAATGACACTTTCAGCCAAATTCTTTTGACCTAGCCCGTGCACTTCGCAAATCTCCTTCCCACTCATTCGAAAAATGACGACCGCGGTTCTCAAATACATTGACCCTGCCTCGTACGACCCCATTGCCACAGAACCTTTCAAGAAGCCTTGGAATAAAGTCGATGGACCGGGTTCCTCCTATAGGCTTTTGGACAAGACTCGACCGGTTGAGAATCTCCGTGGCCAAGAGGCTAAATTTTCAACCGATAATAGCGGATTCGCTGTCTATAAAAGTCCCACGAAAGAGAAACATTTTACCGATACATCTCGGGTGACGACAGACTACTACGCCGAAGTTGAGGGACTTCTCCGAGAAAAGTTGCTGGGTGTCAAGAAAGTAGTCATATTCGATCACACGATTAGGCGGAGAGAAAAGACATCTCCACGCGCTCCTGTCCAACTGGTTCACGTTGACCAAACGCCGTATGCTGCTGAACTCCGAGTGCGTCGCCATCTACCAGCGAATGAGGTAGAGGACTTGTTAAAGGGACGGTATCAAATAGTCAATGTCTGGCGCCCCATTCAGAATCCCGCCTCAGATTTTCCCTTGGCTGTTATTGATTGGCGAACAATCTCCCCCTCCGACTTTGTCAAAGTCGATCTTCTCTATCCAAAGGACGCCAAAGCAGGAGAAGACAAGGCCCAAGCGCCTGGCTCTGAACACCTGACTGACGGTTACGAGGCTAGAGGGGAGCAGTATGCTATTGCTCCAAATGACAAACACCGCATCTACTACCAAAAAGACATGACGCCGGACGAGGCCATGTTCATCAAATGTTTTGACTCACGAAGCGATACCATGACCGGGACAACGGGCATCGCCCATGGGGCAGGTCATACAGCCTTTTGCGATCCCCAGACGCCCAAAGATGCGCCAGCGAGGCAAAGCATCGAGGTCAGATGCCTGGTTTTTTACGAGTCGTAAAACAGGTTATTCTGAGAAGTCTAATGGCGTTGCGTGTAATGATCCCATTACTTTGGGAAAGGCTTCGAAGCTGGAATGATAGCCACTTTCTTAACGAAGCGTAGGAAGATGTGGTGCTTGAGCTTGCAAGAGTAGAATTAAGAGAGTTTTGCAATTCTAGCCATAGCACTACACGAAGCACACTGATATAATGAAATTCAAGTAGCTTGTTCCCCATTGAATGCCCTGACGGGCTGATTCTCTTGTGAAAAGATAAAACGAATATATATTCACATCAAAAATAACTAGTAACTAAGCCATGACCGGACTAGGCCTCGCCCAACCCGCAGGCGGGCTACGGGCCCTGTCTGCCTGCCCGTGTGCTGTCAACAAAGCAAACATAGGGAATCCCGTGACCTGCATAATATTGTCGGAATCACAGCTTATTCAGGGTCAAAAGTACGTATCAGGTGTATAAGGTTGAGGTCTCTGATTCTTGCAAAAGGGAGCTATCTAGGATCCTATATAAGACCGTTGGCTACCTTGTAGAGTATACTAAGCGATTGTGTGGTTTCAAAAGCAGTAATGGAAGAGCCCATCGAGTGGCAGGATTCAAACCATGGCGTGTGGTTTTGGTCGGGGCACTCTTTCCGTTGATTATCTGGATATAATTGGATTTCAAATCGAAATCGGCAGTCATCATGAGGCGATTCACTGGGCCCCAGTATTTTACTACCGGGAAAGGGTCGATACAATACAAGAAACTGTTGTTAGGAAGCTCACTTATCGAAAACAAAACCAAACGAAACGAGTGAACCACTCAGTTATGTATTGCTACATTGCTCCCACTACGTACGGCACCGGTAAAAGCATTTGCCCATCCCCAGCTGGATGCTTGATGCAAATGCAGGGCATATACTGGGTGGCAGGAATGGTTAGTCGACACATACCCAGTGGTAAGGCGGCGGTAAGGGCTAGCTTGCTAGAAGAAGTCATAAATTATCTGACACAACAACCGAACGACGCCGGCCACGTGATCAAGGATAAGCTTAAGGAAGCCTAAATTTACAAGTTTCGATATAAAAATGCTGAGATACGAGGGTCTAAAGAATCCTTATTCTATATGGAATACACAGCAGCGCCGCTTGGTGGTCGGCGCCATTATGCAACAGCCATTAACATAATCCACGGCCGAGGTGCGAAATACGACTGAGCTACGAATTTGTATTCTCATACAGAATGACGCTTCTTTAACACAAAGTATCTGGACCGGTTCACTATTGTTAAGATTTATATTAGGCTATTCAAATATATGGAAATCACAAGAAATTCATATAGTTAGTGACTCGGGATCTTCTCTTAGCGCCTTTCAAAACTCCACCTTCCCCATGGGGTCTTACAAGCGCCCATTCTTTGCGCTTTTCCTAGACTTGCAATACAGCCACAGCCAAATTATCTCACAATTAGGGCAGTGAAGCGAGAAATTAAGGCCGCCTCCAATTCTTCCTCGTCCAATTTTTTTTTTTTCCGGTGCCGATATATGGACTGCGGTTCTTTCTGTCAGCTATCTCTGGTATGTCTCTGAAAATACCGCATAAGCACACCCGGGGCGCCTAGAAACGGTCCTTAATGTCACGGCGCTCTGCTAGGATAATGGAACATCCAACTCATGGATTCTACCTAGGTAGCTATCGACGAGAATAATCAACATGAAGAAGGAAGAGAGGAGGTAACGCCGTATTTATCAACGAAGCAATAAAGCAAACAACTGCACCTCATGTGATACCCAGCCAACATGACCAGGCCGTCACACTTAAACCCATAACATGTACTCCGTAAGCCATAAAAATTTTTTCCACTTCCCCCGCACAGCTTGAAAGCAATTGAAAATGTTGGATGATTCTTTGTTTGCGTGACGCTTCCTGTGTCATAGTGCGCTCTCTCCATGATAATCGTGTATGCAATGCGAAATACACCTACCCAAAATAGTAATTGGTCAACAATACACTCCACCCCCTTGAGAGCAAGGCAGAAAGATCTATAGAGGAAATAAAGCATATTGTTAACAATGCTTCCCCTCGTCTAACTAATAGGATAAAGGGTTTTCTCGGGATCTCTGGTGCAGGCAGAGCTACGGGCTCAACATGAGGATGGTTTGGATGGTTTTCATCTGGTTGCTAAGCGTCAAAAGAGGTCCAAGAGTCGCCGGCAAGTGCAGTGTCTTAGAAATACTGGTGTTTTATCTGTCAAGGATGCCAACCTTCATATAGAGGCTAGAAGGGAAGAGGATCAAGGCATGCGCCGGCGAGCAGTCAGAAGAGGCGCTGGTTTTAGAACCAATCAAGCCCCTACTGGTGAAAATGATCCAAGGATGGAAAGAATACCTGTTGAGAATGGAGACAATGCTTTTGTGGGGGGGGCATAGATAAATAACTACATAGGCTATGATAGATGGATTAATATGACAGGGTCTACCGTCTACATTATTCGGGCGGTGTGGCACGAGTAGGTGGTTGCAGGGATGGCCCATTTTCCGCCATCGCCCGTGCCGGTGCTGCCAAATATATATATATATTGCCGATGCAGGAAAGAATCGCCATTCTTGTCGTGCGGGCGAGAGTTCTGCAAAATTCAAGCACTGAATGATTGTCAACATCCTCAATCATGATGATTTCCCTGATATCTCTTGCAACAGGCATTCTTCTCGCCCTCCTGTACAGATGTGTCGTATGGCCTTACTTTTTCTCTCCACTCGCCAAGATCCCCAATGCACACTTCACCTCACCCATCTCATCCAAATGGATCGAACAGGATGCTGACAACACCAAAGTCTGCACCATTCATGCCCTGCACCAGAAGCACGGCGCAGTGGTGCGCCTTGGGCCAAATGAGCTGAGCGTTAACTCCCTTCACGGCCTCCGAACAATCTACACCGGTGCTTTCGAAAAGGATGCCTTTTACCAGGAAGTGTTTGTCAACTTCCACGCCGATAACATGGTCGGCATGATAGACAACAAGGCCCATGGGCAGCGGAAGCGCATGCTGAGCAGGGTCTTTTCCAAGTCTTTCTTGCAGCAGTCAAAGGATCTGTGCGATATTTCGGCGATGGTGCTTTCGCAGCGGCTGTTTCCGATTCTGAGTCGGGTCGCGAAGACCGGGGAGGCGATTAATGTGCTCCCGCTGTTCCAGGCGGTCGGGATGGACTTTACGTCGTCGTTCTTGTTCGGGACGAGGAATAGTACAATGTATGTCTTGAATCCGCCGGAGTGGCAGCAATGGCTCGACGAATATGAGAAGTTCAAGCATATGAGTCGCGAGGAGCGGTACCTGGGGTTCGTCGAGAGATGGTGCCTGTCGCTGTGCCGCAAGATGGGAGGGAATGATGCGCCGAATGATGTCAACGTCGACACAAATCCAGTGGTGTATGACAAACTGCGCGCTTCTTTGGAAAAAGAGCAGAGTAACCCTCGGTCTTTAGAGTTGACCGTTGCGTCGGAGCTGCTCGATCACCTGGTGGCAGGTCATGAAACAACAGGGATTACCTCGACTTATATGATGTGGGAGTTGTCGCGGCATCCACAGCTGCAACAAGAGCTGCGCCAAGAACTGCTGACCCTGACACCGACGTTAGAATATCCATTCTATACCCGGAATGCCGAGGGCTCTCTGCCGGCTTTCCCGTCCCCATCGGCCATCGACTCCCTGCCACTGCTGGACGCGATGGTCCGAGAGACCTTGCGACTTTATCCTCCCGCTCCCCAGTCGCTTCTCCGAGTCACTCCAAGCACTGAAGAGGGTATTTCACTCAATGGCTATGGCAGCATTCCCGGTGGTGTCCGAGTGGGTTCTTCTGCATACAGTCTACATCGCATTGAGGATGTCTACCCAAATGCCGAGAAATGGCTACCGAAACGATGGCTGCAGCCGGAAGAGAGTAAAATCCACGACATGCGGAGACTCTGGTTTCCGTTCGGGAGCGGAGGGAGGGTGTGTCTTGGGAGCAATTTCGCATTACAAGAAATCAAGCTGGTCATGGCGGCAGCTTACACGAATTTCACGACATCCATTATCGATGACGAAGGGATTGAGCAGGATCATGAGTTTATTTCTTTACCCAAGGGGCGGAAGTTAATTGTCCAGTTTTCGCACTAGAACGTAGGATAGTTCATTAGATAACACGAGAATTGGACTATTAAATCCCCCAGGTGCATCACTATATTATAGAAAGCTGAGTTATTGCACCTTGGCCGTAGTAACTTGCGTAGGGCGGTTGATTCTTTGGCATAATTATGCTCCTCAGACAATCACTCAATTTTGCATTTCATTGGCATATAGCTTGTTCTTTTTCGAGCTGATCATGCACTTTGGTGAATTGAGTGGTATACCGATCAAACATGGGTGAAAATAACCAAAGCCCTGATTATACATTATATTAGCTTCAATTTATTTTCTACCAAAAGTGTCGGCCATGTGGCTCCAGCAACTGGACTAATTTGTGAAATATCAGGGTTAACATCCTAATGTGGGACCACGATACGCCAATTTTCGCAGGAACATACACCATGCATTAGCACTTGCGGATGGAGCCTTAGGGAGATTTAGAACTTCAGACGACGCTTTCGAGCAAAGAATTTCACTAGAGCATGATAAGCTCCCACTTCGGTGGACAGAGGAAGCGAGGGAGCGATGCGTTGTGAGAAGTGTTAGCCAATGGGGCTAGTGAAGTCCGGACTGGCGAGGAAGTTGAATCGCAACCATAGGACACCAAAAGCTCTATAACAAGCTCTGTTCCATGCCAGGCTTTCACGGTACGGACACTAGTCAGCTTAGTGGTCGTCAAGAAGAGGAGGATGCAAGGTTTTTTCACTTCTAGGAAGGACTGTTTGCCAGCCCTCCTATGAGCTTTTCACTGTATTGAAAGAGCAGCAGCACCCCATACCCTTACGGATAATGGGGAGTATTAGATGATATTAATAATAATAATACTATTTGTGGAGCCTCCAGTTTGAACTGCTCCGTAGTTTCAAGGTCTAGCACCAAGAACCACGGTTCTCGCGGTCCTATTACAAGGCCTATGTGAACTAACGGAAGAGGAAATATTTGGTATAGGCGCGTGTTGATTTATTAGACCAACATGTGGAGTCAGGAGGGGAGGGCTGCACGAGATGGCCAAAGACTTATATCTCTGAAGTTTCCGATTACATGGGTGGTGAGAGCCCTGATCTGGGTATACCTTGGTGCAAATATTAGTACCAGCATAGAATCTCCATGGGTTCACATTGTTGATTTCACTCCACAATAGTAAAATCTAAGTCATTGAATGCGGGCACCGCCAGTTTCATCGGATTAGCAGGAGGATCAAATCCTCTACCTGAAATCCATGGTCGTAGTGTTACTACCGGGTAGACATGCCTCTCTCACCTCAATCACACCATTCCATCGTCGCACCTTGAAATTGATATAGAAGAAACTCTTCCACGGCCTCGTCATATGGAAAGTAATTGCTTATAGAGTATGATTTGGTCCAAGAGTCGCCTGGTTTTAGATTCACAAATCCCTCAGATTCCTTGATATTGACAATCATATCTTCATCCGCTATTCCCCCCCCCACAAATCTCATTATTGACACTGTTTTCCCATTGGCCATTTGCATTGTGGCGGTATAACCGGTCTGAGGAATTTGCATAGCACAAAATTTGCATAGCACAAAGCATCTTTGTCAAAGGTGAAGGGATCTATCTACAGGAAAGAGGGGTTCTATCTATAGGTTCTGTGACCTCGCCAAGTGCTTCCTTTGTTTGCTTTCATGGTAGTGTTCGTCGATATCAATCACTGAGGCAGTGTTGAGGTATTTAGCCGTCACACGGCGAATCCGTGTATACCATTCATTGGAAGAGTCCCAGCCCGATGAGCATTATATAAACACCAACCCCCTACATCCACATGTTTCTATGTGTTCAAATCAACACAACCAAGATGTTTTCCTCTATAAGCGCCTTTTTCGGGATCCAAAAAAGCCAAGAATGTATTTTTTGCGACCGGGAAAAACTCGCCGCTCCTGTTTACGAGGTACCATCCATTCTGGTCCATTGAATAAGAATAATGACTAAGTTGTATAGAATGAAGAAGTATTCGCCATTGACAATATCAGAAAAGCGGGAGAATCGCATTGGTTGATCATACCCAAGCGACATATTCGTGATATTGAAAAATTGGATGCTGGAGAAGCTATATGTAAGATTTACTTATCTTATTTTGAACAATGACTGATCTTGTATGCTTAGTACAAGAACTGGACAATGTTAAGAAACATCTCCTGCAGGCATACTATCCGGATATCCCTAAAGAACATGTTCATTCTGGGTATCATCGTGGACATCGACCAATGGTTGGTACATTAGGTCTGCCTGATATAATATCCGTCCACCATCTTCATCTTCATGTGATTGTTTATCCATTTAGCATATTAAAGATGTTCAAGTATCCGAATTGGCTGTCATTGATGTGGGCGAATGATGAGGAGATTCTACAGAGGGCTGTTACACACAAGTCGGTTTAATTTGTTAGATATTCAAGTTATGAAATAAATCAGGACCAGATAATGAGTATACAGGGCTGCTTCAGTGCTCATACATTGTGAGGGCTCGACGCCCCCGGTGTTGTCCAGATGCTTTTGGAATATGTCTATGGTTGGGTATTGGCTTGCCCGGCTGTTATTGCTCGTGTGTGTATAGAAGGTCTGGTAAACTATAGACTTATTGATTTCATTTTCATGGTGCCGCTCGTCTGGTACATCTTATATCTTGTCCTCTTTTCATCTTGACAGACTCGTAGGCTATCAACAAGGCATATTTGACGTTGTCCAGGCTCTCCATCGTACGGTCCTACAGGGCAAAAAAAGAAATCGCCCCATGATCAACTAGTATGCGCACAATCCAGGAAATGAGAGTAACAATGTGGTAAAAAAAAATTTTTTTTAAAAAAAAAGGTTACGAGAGGTGCAAGGCTGTATTGTATGTATGTGAATCTGGGGCTGACTGATAATCGTGTATGTGATGCGCAGGACCACCTGCCAAAAATAGTAAATGGTCAACAATACACTCTGTCACGGAGCATGGACACTTGATTTGTCACATGGCAGGCCCAATTCCTTCATGTTGATTTCTTTGTCTTGTTTTAGGGAGAAACCTCTTTATATATTAACTAGTCCGGCGCTGGCAGGCCCAGCGTTCTTTCCTTTCCCTCCTCACACTAGTATTCCGTCAAATAGTCTACCAATAGCATTATATTGCTCGAGGCCGTCACACACACAATCTTATCAGTGGCGCTATTGTTATTGGCGATTTACCACTTGTCCAGTCATTAATGGGGAAGATATCTGTCAATGTCAACAGAGAAAATCCCTACTTCGGCAGACCTCTACATACTGCTACGGCATTGGGTCGGATTGAGATTGTCCAATATCGCCTAGGCCACGGTGCTGATCCAACCGGTTCACTGGACTGCAAGGAGAAGATGATGATTGGGAGCATGCACGCCTGCACTCCCGACATGAGTACCGAAGTCCAGAGGGCAGTGCTTTACGAGCTGCAACACTAGGAGGCCATGAAAATATCATCTGCCTTTTCTAGGGCCTAGATATGGATTGTCTCTTCCAAGAGCTGAGCACTTTCGAACCATGCTAGCTGCAGTCCGTGGAGGGCACTTGAACATTATTGAAATTATCCTTCAAATCATGGAAACACCAATCCGTGAATTAGGCGCGTTTCGGGAGGGAATGCTCTGGGAGGCTGTTCAGCATGACCAAGAAGGTGTGATGCAAATGCTTTGGGCCCATGACACTGATGTAAACGCACTATGATATGCCAATGGAAGGGACCATGAATGTGCCATCAAGATCGCTCCATCACAAGGTTATCACCATTTGGTCCGCATCTTTCTGGACTATGGAGCAGATTTGGGTTGTGAATCTTAGGCTCCCATCATTGCTGCGGCACAAGGTGGACATAAAGAAGTAGTGCAGATTCTGCTTGAGCATGGTGTTAGCATGAAAGAAGCATTCATCAGTGCTGTAGATGGAGGACAAGTTACTTTACTGGAATATCTCCTAAAAAAAGGTGATGTTGTCCAGGCGAAAGGTCAATCAAGCCAAACCATCGGGATGAAGGCGCTGGTGCGAGCGATAATAACAAAAAGTCCAGCCATAATATCCATATTATTTGACTTGGGTGTTCCAAGCAATCATGATAATCCAACACCATACGACGACCCTATGGTCATTGCAAAGACGTTTTTCAGCAGAATGGATAGTTTACCGTCTACTCTTACTTGGTGCTGAGGACCGAGAAGTTCATCTTGATGAAACACCTGATACCTTTCTAGAAGATTGTTATAATTTGCAGATGTTGAGAGGATGGATTAGGCTTACAGAGAAAACGTGGGAATGGGTGGTAAAATACTGAAATATTGGGTTTGTCATTGACGCTATGCATATGCTGCTTGATTGCATATTTCCTTTTCCTCTTTCTTGAATTTCAATTATTATACATACGTATTGTTATGGATTACGGTTGTCGTACGTCGTAGATAGGCAGGATAGTCAACATTTTGGCTGTAAATAAACGATTCCGTGACGCGGGAAGGGTCCGTTTTACTGCAGCCTTATCTCGACTACCTCATATACTGGATACCTCATTCATATTCCTTGACACTATACAATAAACGGCCATATCATAATCATGTATTATGCTTCCAGCCGGGCATGTCCGCAAGGTCCTTCGCTGGGCTTCCACGCGTCGACTTGAGGGCGTCACCGCCGGGCCTCCATCTCCACGTATCGGCCAGGTCGTCTGCCAAAGATCCCTCTATAAGCTCAACGACGTGCTTACCAATGTTCGGTAGAAGCTTAAACATGTGGCTATATCATATGGTCAGCAAGAATTCTGTCAACAACCCTGCTGCATAGCACCGTCACGTACCCGCTATCTCCTGTGGCGATGATGAAGTTCTTCCACCGTGGGTGCTCGCAGACCAAAAGATTGGCATCAGCAGTGTCTGTGCACCAGCACATGGCTCGGTTGAAAAGTTCCCTATCCTTGAATTGTGGCATGAACCTGCTGATTGCTTTTCGAATGCTCGTTTCCGACGCATCTGGATAGGTATCTGTGGGATGTTTGGCGTGTGATCGAGGAATGGAGATGAGCTTGGGAGAGGCGGAGCCGAATGGTCGATGCGATTTAAAGCGAGAAAATCCCGGGAATTCATCACAGACCTTAATGACTCCGTACCTGTTGGTGGATCCTTAGCGTGTTCTGTCCACCCTTTGCAGGTTGAATGGGAAGCTATCACGTACTCATTCGGCTCAAAAAAGAAGCCATATTCACCGTCGTATACTACAGGCACGTTCTCATATGAGGCTGCCTCTTCGGGCGTGAGTTGAATATGCGCGAAGACCCAAGCCTTAATTATTCTTTAGCCAGTTGCTGACTTACGACTGGGATGCGCAGACAACGGTGCACTGGTACTTACTTTAGAAACGCATTGGTCTTCCAGATCCACTAGTGTTGAGCTCCAAGCGCCAGCAGCCAGAACAATCTTATCAGCATAGTATCTTGTCCCGTCCATGGCCTCGACGCCATTGCACGTCGTCCCATCCTCGTAGAAAAGAGGTTGCTTAAAAGTTCCAGCGCTACCATGTCGCGTTAGCTCCAGTGCACATTTCCAAATGCCAAGGCTGTGAAACGACACATACTCGCCAAATCCAAAATTGACCCCTTGGTTCTGGAGAAATTGGCCTACTGCATTGATAGCCTTGGCTGCGGCGAGCCAACCTCCATCGCCGCAGAACAAGCCTTTCCATCCCTGGTGCTCAACCTCCTGTCAGCCATACTTCCCTGGACGTTTTAGTAAATACCGCTTGCCTTGGTTTGTTCCCGCATAAACGGTGGCACTCTCGCTAGGATCTCGTCCTCACTGTCTAGCCAGGTATTTGTCTTCTCTAGCCCAACACCTGCGTCGATAAGAGACTGGTGTTTCCGGTGAAGGTTTGCGATGCCCTTTTTCGAGGATGAACAGTCAATCTGTAGTACGCCAACATATAAGCTACTGGTCCCTCAACAATGGAAGCAGCTCACTGCACTAACCATGCCAACGTTATGGAAGAAAGGTTTGAACAGTTGGTCGTTCTTCCACATATCTAGAGCCTCTAGTGAAAGCTGAAGATCAGATGTATTTCGCAATCGGATGCTCATGATCTTGTTGATATCGTAACCAGCAGACTGGGTAGAGGGAATTGGATAGACATCGAGAACGGTGATATACGAGGGAGTATATCCAGAGCGAATTAGATGGAGTGCGGTTGACGAACCCATTGTGCCGGCCCCGCCGACAACAATAATTCTTGTGTTTGCACGCGAAGTTGCCATATTTTAGCAATCGATTGGAGCTTTCAATGCTTCTTTCTTAGTTTCTAGGGCCCTGGCCATGATATTTCTTTATCATAAATGTAGGCCATTAGGCTCGCACCATTGTGGGCCCAGAAGATGTAATCTTTGGCCCTCGTCGCTCACCCACACATAGTCGGAGTACGCCGTCTGTATATAACACAACATGGTCTAGAATGGCAGTATGAAATGGTTATCTGCAACTAGGGGTTAGTGGCATGTCATGTATTCCTCAAAAAGTCCTTCATGCGACAAACTCCGAGGGAGCGGAAGGTCCACGCGGTGGAGGGAGTTACCAGATTCTCTGCTCGGTGCAACTCTCCTATAACCATGGTAGATAATCACATTAACCATAATAGAACCATAACACTAAGACTCAACATATAACACCGAAGATACTTCTAACCACCGCTAACATAGATGTAAAATCCTACCTCCGATTGTACCTGCACGTCGCACAAGTCCTAAAGTGACAATTCTGACACACGAAGATAAACCACGGCAGCCGCTCTGCGCACTCGTCGCACTGACTGGCAACCTGTACACGTCTCCAGACAATGTGGTTACACTCTTCCACCTCCCGCAAGTGTCCAGTCTCGAGAAGTCGCTGTTCGTCCCAGAGCTCGCAGGTACAAGTCTTCCACGCCGCGCCGCAGATGTAGCAGAATTCGTGGCGGCATCGGCAGCTGGTAGAGATCTATAATTAGCATATATATTCCCACATAACAAGAAACAGGAGAACATACGTGATATGGCTACATCCAGTACCCAATTCGACCAGATTCTTGCATTTGGCGCATCGCCGCCAGCCTTTCTCCTTCCCAAGCTGTAAGACCTCCTCACTATCGCCCGGACATTCCTGCTCAGGATAATGGGACGTCTTGCACAATTTACAGGTCCATCGGCTGCATGTTGTGCAGAATCGATCATTTACCGCCCCAGGAAACGGGAGGAGATATCGCGAGCAGGTGGGGGCAGCGCAATAGGTTCTCTCCGGATCATCACGCTCCACTGACTTCTCCTCAAATTTCAAAGTTGTCTCTGGACCCAGAAGGCGATGTACCAGAGTTATGGGCAGAGCAACACGGCAACAACGGGGAGGAAAGAGCGACTCATCGCGAAGGGCATCTTCGAAGAGTCTGGTGACACACTTGCGGCAGTATTTGTGTGAACAAGGAGCGGTGGTCATTTCTGTTGCGGACACCCGTTCCGTACAGGCAACGCATTCGACCATGCCCTGGGGCTGCTGGGCGGGGTTGGCATTGCCAGGCTGGGTGGGTGCTTGCCTTGGGCCTACTACCCAGTGACATATAAGTAAGTGCAAATAACCACAAATGCTTAGTTATAGGAAAGGGAGGTCATACCAGGTGGCTGGCACTGCTGAGGCATTTCGCCCTCCGCAAGACTGATCGCTATATGTCTGTCCTCAGCGGCACGCCTTTCCTCCTCATCAATATTTCCCAAGATCTGCCTGTCCTGATAAATTGCGCGCGCGAGACTCATGGCCGTTCTATAGTCTGCTGCTTGAGAGGCGTAGCGGTCGACTTCTTCCTGCCAGGCACGAAGGACGAGGTCCAGCTCATTTTGGGCGTCGGGGTCTGTTTGGGAGAATTCTTGCGCGTCAACCCGAAGGAGGTCAAGTATAGTCGATAGGCTCTGCTCATCCATCCTTCTTGAAGTTCTGAAACGGAAAAAGAAGGTGACAAAAAAGTGGTTGATGGTATTGGAATGGAAAGAGGACGCGATGGTGGAGGGAAAAGTGCAAACAAACAGTGCCGACAGACGAATGGCGTTGTTGACGGTCCAAGCATTTAGCCCTAATAGTAAGAAGATTGTTGAGTGAATTCCACTCCAGCAAATACAACTATCGAGTGGCATCCATTACGCCTGGAGAAGCATCTATCTTGTAATATGCCCTATTATGGAGTCAATTTCAAGATTATTTCCTCGTCGAAGCAATGGACATACATTCTCTTTCCGATGATGTCCTATCATGTTTTATCTCAAGAATAAAGCGGGATTGGTAATCAATGGATTTCTGAATACAGCATGATTTTACTAGGAGCGACTATGGGCAGTATGTGTTTGATTCGATTACTGGTGCATGTTCAATGCCTATGGTACAGCAAAATGCACGAGCCTACTTGGCAGGAAGATCCTTCGCAGCTCCAAGACAATGCAATCGTCCACCTTGAAGGTTTCTAATTCTTCAGAGCCGGTGTAGTCGACAATCTAGCCAATAACAATGAAGTTTGTTTAGTCAATTGTTGAAATTCGGGAAGATGGTGGAGTTCAATTTGGCTGTTCTGGCTTGAAAGGGCCATGTGATATTAGCTTCGCATGCCTGCACGGAATGACATCTCAAGGACCATACCTTCTCGACCCAAATGTGACTGGCCCGTGTTCGCTTTTGCACACGGAGACTTTGTCATCAAATACTTCAGGGTAAATGTCGTCTTCAGGTGAGGGGCCCAATCTCTGAACCCCACCGTATCACATAGTTATCTTCCCGGCCTCTACTTTGACGTTGCCAGACCGATATGTTGCCATTACTGTCTACGGGTTTCAATCTCCTCCCTATGGGGCTGCTAGTCGCGATACATGAGCTTGAGTGCCTAAACCTCCACTGATTTATCAACCGTCTTCTAGCATTCTTTGCAAAGCATTTAGTTCTAGGTTCTAACATCATGTGTATGGAGGTTAAGTCCATACGGTGTGTAGATTGCGAGATATATTGCATTCTTAATCGCAGCAACTCATACTTTTCTACTATCTCCTCGAGGGATTCTCTTTTCTTTGCTGATGTCTCCGCAGGTTGTTCCGCTGCTGGCTTGGATGCTGAGTACGGGGTTATATCGATGCAGCTAAGATCTTATCTCTTATCTTATCTCCGTAACTCGGCATGCCGAACGCCCCCACTCGGAATCGGCATTTCTCGATACAATACGTATGTACTGTATTTTTCTATTTTTCTAGTTTCGTTTCCCGAACTTTCCGATAATCATTTCCGATGTGTCAGGGGTCCGCCTTTTTTTTTTTTTTTTTGCTTGACGTATTTTCGTCGTGCATTCCATTGTGTTCCGTTGTTCTACTACAGATAAAGTGGTTATTGATTGAGATAAGTGACAGGGATTGTCGAACCATTGTCGAACCCTACAGACCCTTACTATCCAGGTAATCATCTGCATCTGCACAGCCCTATGCGATTGAATGCTAATCGACAATAAAATCCAGCTTTATATACCCATCCAGCTATACATACAAATCACACCAAAATGTCCTGGCTCACCAGAACGACATCCTCCCTCCCCAAACGACCCTTATCCATCCTCCGACCTATCACCCTCACCACAGGACAGACCCTCCTTCAACTGCGCCACCAACAACGAACCTACAACCAAACAACCCCCCGCCTCGTTCATCCTTCCTCTTCTCCCTCTGCCCAACAATCAACAACCGTCCTGCACGAAGACCACCTCACAAACCCCAACTTCCCTAGCCCGGCAAGCATAGAAAATGAGCAAGCTTACATTGACACCCTAATCTCATCCCTCCCCCTCGTCCAATCCCTGCGTCAGAATCCAACATATAAAGAATCTCGTCCTCATCACTCTATGGACCCATCATTGCGGTCAATGCATTTCGTCGCTGGTTCTCTGGCGGGGAAGAACAAGGTCACCGTTGCGCCGTTAATGTGGATGTCTAATCCCTCCTCCCCACCCTCCACCTCGTCTACAGCTTCTCCATCGGCGAAAACCAATACCAACACAAACGGAGAGGGAAGAGCAGGAAGCCACCTCTACTCAATCTTCCACATCGGCGGCCACCTCTGCGGACACCCGGGGTACGTGCACGGCGGATTACTGTCGGTGATGTTCGACGAGGCATTTGCGCGATGCGTGTCGACGTCTTTCAGCAGTGGTCTTGGGATGACGGCGAATCTGAACGTGGATTTCCGGAAGCCAGCGCTGCCGGGTAGATTGTATGTGCTTGAGGCAGGAACTATGAAGGTTGAGGGGAGGAAGGCTTGGGTTGAGGGGAGGTTGGTTTGTTTGCCGGATGTTGGGAACGGGGAGGAGGGGGACGGGGTTATGGTTGCGGAGGCAAGGGCTTTGTTTGTCGAGCCTAAATTTGCGGAGGTTTGTTCTCTAAATTTCCCCTAGTGGTGAGAAAATGGCTAACTTGTGCAGTCGATGATTCCGTTGTATAAAGGTTGATCCGTTGATCCCGGATCGAGTTGGATAGAAGTCCTTTTTCTGCGTTTTGCACAATACCCATAGACATAAACACGGACAGAATAGAATAGACTAGATCATGTACCATTCCTATCTAATTGTTATCTCACAAATGCACACCTTGACTCCCTACCAGGCCCGATCAACCCGATAACAATATCGCAAACAATAACCGAAAGTAACTGGTGGAAAGACCATCCGTGTCCTTTATTAGCCAGAGTAAAAACATGCCGACATCTTTTTTTTCCATACCAAGATGAAACGACGAAAATACAATTATGTGATATAGTATGAAACATGAAAATGCATCAAACCAAGCGGATGTCGATAGACCAAAATCAAGAAAGATGGAATGCACCTTGTCCTTCCTTGATCGCAACTGAAAGTCGCTCCCGAAGGACATCCAGACTGCTGTAATCGGGTAGCTTGAGGTAGTTAACACAGGTCATGACGCTGGGAAGATAGTCGTCAGGCGTGTATGGGTGCTCGCTGGGACGGCAGACAACCGTGAAAATCGGTGTTAAACTCTTGAAGCCTATACATACAATTAGCCAAATTCAATATAATGTGCATAGCAACACGTACCGCCAATCGGAAGTTTTGGACTTCCAGTGACAAACTGCAAAAAGTCCCGTCGTTGCTGCAAATCGAACTCGCTCATCGTTTGCAGCAGGTTCCGTACACTCCGGCTGTCCATGTTGAAACCATGATCTGCCTTAATCGAATCCATAAGAGTCTCAATAGACCAGTCCTCCTCTGACTGGCCGAACAAAATCACCAACTCGCTTGGCGTAAAGGTCTTCAGCGACGAGTAGGCGAATACTTGTGAGAATCCTGCCCGGAAGGCTTCCACTTGAAGACGGACACCGGAGCCCAGCGTCATGTCGACAACCCGATCCACATAAACATCGACATTATCAATCGTCACCGAGGTGTTGGATCCGTCCTTGATCAAGTCGATGGATGGGTAACCGGGCAGGGTGAAATCCAAGCCCAGGTCATCCACCTTGACACCATCAATCTCGACTTGCTGCAGCGCTTGAGCCTTGTCTGATGCCGATAGACCCTTATCCTCAACAGCCTTCTTGGCGACTGCGAAGCGTTTCAAGAGCATCAGAGAATTGGCAAGATCGTGGTCAACAGCCTTCACGGTACCAAGCGATGGCGTCACCGATGATGAACTGTCGGCAATTCGGAAGAATGCCGGGTTGAAGAAGACATCGATGATCCGGGAATCGAGCATCGAGCGGGCAACGAATTTACCGAGAATTTTAAACAGTTGCAGCTGTTTCTTGCCAGACTCCCGAGCTGCCTGCGCATCACTCATGGGCGCAGGAAACAGTCCACGTTTACCAAAGGCGTACCCATCACCATGGTTGCAATCATTCTCCCGCCATATCTTGAGCTTCTTCTTGGAAAATTCCTTCGAGATCGTCGAGTAGAACTCCAACGTGGGTCCCAATCCAGTGCCCACTTCCTCAAAGTATTCAATCTCGAGAATACTAGGCGAAGAGCCGTACAGCTCCATGACCTTCATGGCAGACTCGAGAATCCGAGACCGCGAGATCCGCACCTTCTGTCGCTGAAGTCGGCCCAGGAATGGCCGATCATCTGGCCGATCATGACGATTGTCATCCCCATGCGAGCTTTGCCACCTCAACATCGCGCGCGAGTACCCAAACGCAGTTGATTGAAGGAAGAGATGCCGTGTCTCAAACGGGAACAGGAACGGGAATAGACGAGCTAGATCTTCGCTCCAGCTGGGAAGGCAGCTGCTCGCCACGATCAAAGGTTCCTCTAGTTGCCGGTTCAGCTTGGCCGTGAGCTTTGTGTTGATAAACTGTGCCAAGGGCTCCGGTTTGATTGCCATGGTATCCTTGATCTCAGCCAGAATATCATCCAGCGCGGCGTTCATTTCGTGCAGAGACCCGAGTAGTCGAAGGATCGAGGCTGTCGTGGGATTCTTGTTGAGTGACCGAGGCATTTCGTTGTCTGCCACGATAGATTCGGTCAAGCCCGAAGCAGCGGTTGACGGCTCTGGAGGTGGTGGCCCTGGCACCCGCTTAAACTTGATCGTGTGAATAGCCGACCAAACATTCCTTGAGCTGACATCAACATTTTCACGGTCGTGGTGAACAGCGCGGTAAATGGTTGTCTCGTTTGAGAGCGGCTTTCCGTCAATGCTGAACTCAATGTGCCAGTCCTGGGACGGGGAAGCAATAGCAGCGGCGTAAGAGGATGGACGACCGGCCATGGCTAGTGATTGACTAGCAGACGACGTCTGCGCAGGACGAGATGACGATGACTTGGACACAGGAGTAGACTGAGATGGAGTGGACACACGAGTTCCATCTTCTTTTCTAGCCGTTACCTTGCCTGTAGATGCCACCTCCATGTTGACAGCGGATGGATCATGGCCGTGATTTTCAGGCTCATCATCATCATCATCCATATCATCGACAATAGCATTCAGCGCATCAGCACCGTCACCATCCTCGTCCCCATCCTCTTCTCCGTCGCTCACTTGTCTCGCGTCAGCACACTCGAGGGGCTCTTCGTGTTGTGCTTCTTCTTCTTCTTCTTCTTTTTCTTCCTCTTCTTCTTCTTCTTCTTCTTCTTCCTTGCCATGGGCTTGCTGATGTCGCCCAGAACGTCTGGGCTTTGCACGTTGAGGTTCCTCAGTAGACGGAAGATCATTACCACTAAGCTCATTAGGCCGCGATGACAGATGAGCTGCCGCGGATGAAGAACGAGGAGAATCATTACCACTTCCGCTTGACCTATCACTGTTCCCAGTGAGTTGTTCACGAAGCCGTGCAGCATTAGCAAGCTGGGACAAAAGTGTGTCACGACCATTAGAGGCACGCGGTCGATCTGCCAGGCTGATTCTCGGATGAAGGAAATCGTCGAGAGATTTGAAGGTAGCAATGGCGTGAATGGACACCATGATGTTTTTGTAGGTGCGGGGGATGTCAGAATCCTCATCGGCGACGAGCTTAAGTCTAATCTGTTTTCCGAGCATGTGGATGGCGTTGCTTCGCGAGTTCTCAAGCGAATTTTGGTTGACCGTCATGACCTCGAAATGCTCAGTCCGGCTGAGCAAGTCTTGTAACTTATTGATCAGTACACTAAACGGTGTGGTAGCGGTGCTTTGGCTTTGCGCCTTTTCTGAGATGGCCGTTCCCATGAACGCTTGCAGGAAAGCGGTACGAGCCTCACGCGTTGGTGGAGATTGGAAATCGCCAAAAACGTCCAGAAGGACATTAATGACGCCCGAATTGAGTAATTCCGAGCTGGTGATACTTTGCAGGGCGTCTCCGTCGAAATAAGACGCAAGCTTCTTGAAGAGCCGAAGACCGTTACTGCCCCCAGCAGTGTCCTTGTAGGAGGCCTTGATGTCTGCCGCGAGGGCCTGTAACTGATCGAGGATCTCTAGAGCCTTATTCCGCATGTCCTTGCCTTCACTAGCTTCGTACATTTCAACGAAGGCACGGGCATCACGGACGACGAGATCTTGCAGCATAGTATCAATTTTGACAGATATCCTAGTGTCGAAGGTCAAACTGTTTGACACTGAGACGTCGCCGTCGTCTTGATAGCCATCCTGGTCGTCATCCTCGTCATCATTTTCATTGTCTTCATCACCGTCTTCGTCCTCATCCCCCTCTTGGCCCTCGATATCAGATGTGGGGTTATCATCCGCAGTTTCATCTCCGCTTGTCGACCGAGCATCATCCACCGTGCTCGTAGATGGCGACCCCTGCAATTGCTTATTTTGCTCAGTGGACAGAGATTCCTCGGATAACTTGACAATTTCCGAGATAACACCCTCGCGGTGGAACTGATATTGATAGACATGTTCCAACCGCTGGAACAGAAGTTCAGCACATCGTAGTGCTAGCGACACCAAGGACGGATGATCCTTCTGTGACAGAATCGCTCCGAGGAATGATGCATAGGGAACGGTGCGTAGGGCGTCTTCGATCAAGGCAACGTCCAAGTTGTGGAGCATTTTGAGCTGCGCAACGAGAACTTTCTGCCGGACACCCAAGTTGACCGTGCTCGAAAATGCGTCAGTCAATGTGGGAAGCAAAATCATAGCAAAACGTTTAAGTTGGGCTTTGCATTCCATCAACAAGGATCGCCGCTTCTTGGCGGATTCCTTCGTCTTGGGTGAGTGGGATCCGAGAGTCATGTTGGTTTCAAAATATGTGCTCAACACGCCATCTTCCTCGCTTGATTGACTGACCGGTACTCCAGGTAGAAGCTCGCAGATGACATTAAGAGTTTCAAAAACTTGTTCCCGAGGACGATGGATCAATGCCTGCATGACAAGAACCCCGTCCATTCTCACAGACGACTTGTCTAACTGTGGGGGTGAAACACCGGTCAAGATCTGATACAGCGTGTCGACCACGTCCATCCGGAGGAGCTCCGCAGACAAACGAGGGCTGACCTTGCAGGTGATGGCGAGAACCCGGAGGAACTGTGTATGGATGTGTGGTCCAATTAAATTGGTGGTTCCGGGCAACAGAAGACGAAGTACAGCTTTGAGCATGGCGGGCTCAATGAGCTCTTCTAACTTTCCCGGCTTATGCTTGAAGCTCTCCACGATCCGAGACACACAGAGACACCCTTGTTCAACCACCTTAGGATCATTGCTTGAAAGAACATTGAGAAGGGTTGGCATCACATCACGGACAACTGGGAATGAATCTGTAGGAAGATTTCGGCAACAGTTTGCGGCGGTGGTCACAGCCGTACGTTGTGTGCTAGTTGGGAAGAAATCAAGGTAGGTCAGGCAGGCCGTCAAACCACCTTCCCGCACGATGGAGCCAGGAAAGTCGACTGAAATTTTGGAGAGAGTCTGGACAAAGTCAGCTTCTGCGGGTCTTTTAACCACTGCACGAGAGGAGTAAGAACTTACACTAAGAGCTTGCTCAGCCAAATCGATGAATTGAATATCCAAGAGTTTCTGACACAAAATGGGCACAGCACCACCATATACCACATTGGCGACTGAGCCCTGCAGGGCTTCCATCAAGTTCGCCAGGCAGCGGCAAGCAAGCAGCATGATCTCCGGGTTCTCCTCGCCAAAGTCACTAGGTTGCATCAATGCAACGAGTTCCTTGACGTAGGGATCGGGAGCGAAGGCCCCGGCCAGATTGTCCTCGTTGGAGACAAGGAGGAGGTCAGATAGCTCCTGCAGAGCAATCAACTGGATGGAGGGGTCTTCTTTCATTCGTAAGTTGCAGAGAATTTCCCGCAGCCGTGAGGTCATCCCCGACATCATACCACTGAGCGCACGGAGCGTACTTTGAAGTCCCAAAGGACCACGAGAACCGAAAATGGCGCTGCCGAACGGGTCTCCGTCATCGTCATCGAAAGCAGAAGGATTCGTGCCATCGTTGCTGTCGCTGGGCGGCGAAGACTCGTGGTCATCCATATCCTCGTCCTCTTCGTCATCTTCTTCCTGCTCTGGGCTCTCTATTTTCTCTTCGGCGTCTTTCATAATAAGATCCTGGTTGGTTCTGCCCGAGCGCTTCTTGTGTCGATTCGGAGGTGGAGACTGTGTCGTTGCAAGTCGATCTGCTTGATCTGAGATGTTAATATCGGGTGAATCCATCATACATGAGCCAAAGGATCCTTGCATACCTTGCGAGACCTTGGCATGCTTGCTAGACTTTCGTCTGTTTGTTGGAGGGGACGGGATCTTCGGAGCTTCCTCCGTAGGTCGTGAGGACGGACTGTTTGTTTGTGTCAGCTAACACGACGCTAAGGACGAGGATCTGAAGCCCAAAGCCTACCCTGGTTGTGACATTGCCGGACGGTTCCGATTACCACGACGTGTGACAGCGGGGGCGGGGGCAGGAGCTGTCTGGGGAGAAGCACCGAGTCGCTGTCGCTTTTGTCTCCTGGGCGGCGAAGAAGATTTCGGTTGTGTTGGGATATCCAAAGACGAATCAAGGCAAGTATGGGCCTTACGCTTGCGGGAACGAGGCTGGGCCGAACCAGCGGCGAGGTTCGAGGGCGACGGACCGTGACTAATGGACTGGGGAGACTCTGCGGCAACTCTCGCTGCTGAGCGAGTGACTCTGGAGGACATGAGAAACTGACGCTTATTATTGCTTCAGGCAGGAAGTGGGAGATGGCAGGGATGATGAGGAAGGGTATGGTAAGGTAGAGAGGGTCAATGGCTGATAGAATGCACAGCGATGTGATTCATTCGCAAGTGAACTTTGAGGGGAAGGGGGAAGTCTGCGAAGATGATGGGAGCCCAACTACGATCGTTCCGTGAGTACCTTGCCGCCCGGGATTCTTCGTAATCTTGCGAATATTTCCACCAAAGAGCGTAAAAAATCCAGCTGTCTGTTGCACCTTTGACGATGGGGTTCGAGTCAAGGTCCCGACAAGAACGATAGAGCGGGAGGAAGCGGAATGAAGCACAGGCGGGGATGTGAATGATAAACCAAGGACGAATGAATTAGTACCTCGAGGTAGAAGAGGCTCTAGACGTAGAAGCAGCAGTGGTTGTAGCGGTGCGAGTATTATCCGTCTTGCTGGATGCAGTGGCGGCGGTTCCAGCGGCGGCGGCGGCGGAAGAGGGTATGGAGCGAGAGTCCTCACGAGGGTCCTGGCGGCGTAAGGTGGCCCTTTGTCTGGCCATAAGTCGAAGTTAAACGGGGAAGGGGAAGCGTGAGATCGCGGTCACCGGTTAAGCGCCATCCGTAATCTGAGATATTGGAATGTTGGAGGTTGGAGGGAGTGGCCAAGCGGGATCGTTTCCGGTGGTCGATAAGAGCGAGAGACGAGAAAGAATAATAGATGTAGAGAAAGCTTAGAATGCAAAATAGTTTAGGATGTTGAAAAGCAAAGATAGATAGAAATCAAATGAAGATGAAATATAGTCGAAGGTTGAGAAGGAGAAGGAAGAAGAGGGGAGGAGAGATGGAGCTGAGGAAGAGGAAGAAGAGAAGATCCGCCGTCGGTTGGGTTGACGTGGTGGAGGGACCAGCGTCAGACACCAGTATGGGTATAATAATACTGTATTAAGAGCTTATATGCATGCAGAGAACACTTGTATTTTAATATGGCAGCATATATGTATACGACATGGCTGTGTTCGAGAGTGAGTTCTAAGTGAGATGAAGATCGCTGTCTCGTGGATACCCCGGAATACTACCCCAGTCACCAGTGTCATTATGCCACCGCTATGCATTGCAATGGTTTGGTAATTATGGTGGAATATATGGAATACAATATAATACTGGAAGAAACAAGTATAATGGAACGACCGAATCCTTGCCGGTGGTGATTTTGACTTGGATTACACTGTGCTCCGAATACGGAGCGACATTTGAATAGCTTCACTTTTTCCTAATCGGGACATGAGTGCGGGTATGAATCTTTGTTTCCCACTGTCAATTCAGTCAAGCACTCAACACTGTCTACAACTGCAGAAACTGCTTTACTCCATACCTTCTTTTTGCACTTCTATATGGCTTTCTAAGTTTACAGCAGTGCTCAATCACGTCAACCCGACCGTAGGACACACCATGGTCTCTATATGTCCCAGAATTAACCCTACTTTGTACTCCGAGCAACCTGCTAAAATCCGTTTACTATATAATCAGTTTACTATGTACTCCGGAGTAGATCTAGGAAAACTACACCGTACTTAGTACGGCTTCGATCTGACTGCCGGCTAATGACCCCTCATCACCGAGGTCCGGCATTATTAATAGGCAAGAGCCTCGTTCCTTGCGTTTTTCGTCATTTTTCTCGTTGCTTAAGAATAGCCAGAGCTTGACCGAGTAATAAGCAATAACTAGCCAGTAACTACTTAACTGCTAAAAAGAAATCCGCCTCCGTGCTTTTTTCATATCCGCCGCCGCCTTCGGCTTGTCTGTTTTTGTTCACCTGGAGAAAAACTCTCTTCTCTCCTCTCCCCCTCATTTTCTCTCACCTCTGCTCCATACCAAGATCCAGATCCGCTTCATATTCTATCAAGACATCGTCATTATATATCCTCTCCTCTCCAATTATACTCAAAATCCATTTTCCCTCACCCGCTATACCGCCGCCATGACGCAGAGCGACCAGGCTCGCCCCATCCCCAAGAACCCTTCAGACGACTATGCCTTTCCCGAAATTAGAATGAAGACTAAGATGGACGACCCGGAGAAGACGCCATTGCTACTGGTCGCTTGTGGTTCTTTCTCGCCCATCACTTATCTGCATCTACGCATGTTTGAGATGGCTGCCGATTACGTCAAGTTCAGTACCGACTTTGAAATGATCGGGGGATATTTGTCGCCTGTGTCGGATGCTTATCGCAAGGCTGGTCTGGCCAGTGCTGAGGATCGGTATGGTCTTTGCTCTACTAGTATTCTCAGGACTCGGGGTTGATGCTGACGCTGTGAAGTATTGCCATGTGCCAACTTGCCGTGGACCAGACCTCTGACTGGCTGATGGTGGACACCTGGGAGCCTTTGCAGAAGGAATACCAACCGACTGCCGTCGTATTGGACCATATCGACTATGAGATTAACACCGTGCGGCAGGGTGTCGAGGCTGGCGATGGAACTCGCAAGCCTGTTCGCGTCGCTCTCTTGGCCGGTGCCGATCTGGTTCACACCATGTCAACCCCTGGTGTGTGGAGTGAGAAGGATTTGGATCACATTCTGGGCAAATACGGAGTACGTCATATCAACCATTGCTTTGATATCCCATTCTAATCGTCGTAGTCTTTCATCGTTGAGCGCAGCGGAACCGACATCGACGAAGCCCTAGCATCCCTTCAACCATGGAAAGACAACATCTATGTCATCCAACAGCTCATCCAAAACGACGTGAGCAGCACAAAGATCCGACTGTTCCTGCGACGTGAGATGAGTGTCCGCTACCTGATTCCGGTCCCAGTCATCCACTACATTGAACAACACCATCTCTATGAAGACGAAGGCTCGACCGGTGTCTCCGACAAAGGCAAGGCCAAGCAAGACATCACTGGCTCAGCGTGATTCATGTCTGAAGTGACCTGTCTCTTGCTCGTCGCGCTTTGCGATAGAATATTCATGACCTGTCGAATCGCCACGGCCATGTCCACGAAACAAATTATTCTTACCTAAGTCAGCCCAACAGCACGTTCGATGGTCCTTCCATTCGGCCTCTTATGACTTTGTTCCGTCCCCTCATTTGGCAGAAGCGCCGTGTTCAATGACACTCTAGAGCGAATATGATTAATTACGATAGAGCTGGACTTGTCGATCAATAATCGTGGCTTACAACGTGAAAACTATAAAGCAAACGACCACAAGCCCACGACCGCGACACACTGTATCCCGACTTTGCCAGGCGTTCTTCTAGGCTTTAAGGAGAGAGGAAAAAACACTTCTGGCATAGATCTATCTACCTGCCTCTTTGTTTCCTTGATATTTTTTTTTTTTTTCTGATGATCGATTTATACTACTATACCCTGAGCCCGATGCCATTTTACGATATTATCTTTTTGCTTGCTTCTCAGATAGAAAAATAGGAAGATAAATTACCCAATGTTTGTTATTCGATTGTGCCTTTTTCAAAACAGGACGGTGAATCGTCACTTGCGCTTTTCCATCTATCTGCCTTTCCAACTCTGTATTGTTTTTAAGCCCCTTATGTATGAACAGATGCAAGATAAAACACAGTAGTGGATATCCACAGATACCAAGAGAGGAAGTAAGAAAGAAGTAGAGAAATCCCGAAACCCTTGCTCAAAAAGAAAAGAGAAAAAAATTGCATGAATTCATGCGTCATAATCATAACCATCATTATCCAACCATCCCAATCCAATCTCAATGTAAGTATGTGTGAAGAATGTGTATGTACAGCCTTTAACCAAAAAGGTATATTAGTGTATGGATAAAGGTCACGAAAGATAAATCCCAAAAAAAAAAAAAGAAAAGAAAAGAAAAGAAAAGAAAAAAATAGGTGACAGAAGATCGATAGATGCTAAAATAGAAAAAAATGAAGAAAGAGAAGTGAGGGATCGATGAAGATATGTGAAAGTGAAGAAAAAAAATCAATCACTCCACAATTCCTCCACCTCCATGACTCCCAGAATTATGTCTGGATTTGACTCGTCGACCCCAGCGATCACTGAAACCTGATCGTTGTCGCTGACGAGTCTGCGTACTTCGTTCAGGGTACTCGAAGCAGGCACGCAGAAGAACTGGTCCTGCGGGACAGAGACAGAGATGCCAGAGGTGGAAATTGAAGAGAGAGTCATGTCCACGTTGTGAGTGGTTGTGAGGGAGCGGAGGTGACGAGGGATGACGAGAGATGTCGAGGCAGTAGATGATGTGGAATGTGAGATAGAAACCCAGGATTTAGCATCTGGGTTCTGAACGGCGGTAAGAAGGATATCGAGGAGACGGGTGCCATGGCCAGATACATTAGGTATCTTATGGAAAGGAACAAAACGGTTCGAAATGAGATCTTGCTTCTGCTGCGTCTGCGACCCATCATCCAACGGACGAGACTGCAGATAATCCGACGACGTGGAATTCAAGGGAGACGTAGACAGCATGCTCATAGGAGTCGTCGCGGCAGTCGCAGCAGCAGCCGTCGCCGCGCCAATGGCACCGCCGGGATGGAAACTTTTGAAGACCTCGGCAGGGCCGCGGTCTGGGGATTTATGCAGTCGCTGCGCCGTTGCCAGGGCTAGGGCATCACCCAGGGCGAGGGCCACAGTTGTGGACGAGGTTGGGGCACTCAGGCCAAAGGAGGACTCTTCGTCTTCGTGGATCGGAGCAGGGAGGGATATCGCCATGTCCGGAGACTGGAACGAGATGAGCGGACAGGCTGACGGGTGCGTATGCGAAGTGATTGCGATAATGGGGACCGTGGGAGGGATATGAGGGAGGAACAGCAGAAGTTCCTGGGTGCGACCAGAAAACGAAATCAAGAGCAGGGTATCTTTCTAACCAGCATTGTCAGAAATCTATAGAATTCCACTTTGCAGCCCTGGTGTAACATACCTCACGAATAACCCCCAAATCCCCATGCAACGCCTCTGTCGGGTGCAAGAACATACTGAAAATGCCCAAGCTATTCATCGTCGCCTCAATCTTCCTCGCAATCTTGCCACTCTTCCCCACGCCACAAAACACCAACTTCCCTCCATTCTGTATAGTCCGCACGATCTTGTCCACCGCACGCACCAGGTTCTCCTGCGCAAGGCCGTCGGTCTGATAGAGTCGCTCGAGGTGAGCCAACGCCGCACGCTCCGTCGAAAGCACATGGATCGCCGTCAGGAGAGAAGAGGCGGCATCTTCGGTAGATCCATTTGGAGCGCCTACTGGCATGTCAGGAGGGGTCAATGGCCCCGCGGGGTATTCGTCGTGGATGGAGGCCGGCATCGCAACAGACAGCGGGGTCGCCTTGAGGCGTTGGTGAAGGGAGGCGTGCATCGATGGGGGAAGGAATGAAGAGAAGAGGTCTCCCTGAAAAGACAGTGGGTATAAAAATAAGAATAGCGAAGAAGGAAATAAAACAAAAACAAGACTGAAATCAAAGAGAAAAAAGAAAAGAACTCGGAACACGGGGATGTGGGAAAAGGAAGAGATGCCGATTATCTCGCCATGTCGGAGATAAAAATCAATGAATACTAATCAAACCTCGCTGCATTCACTGCACAAATGACGAGAAGGACAAGACGAAGTTAAATTCGGCTGGCAAATATTCATTTCGGGTCCACTATCACACCATAACTACTAGAACCTTCACTCAATCAAAAGGTAACAGAATGCAAACTCTCCGAGGCCCGATATCGTACATCTCCACACTATCTACAATGCAATGAAAATCAAGAAATCGGCTTGATTCCCTTGTGAATCGCTGCAATCCCACCCGTGAGGTTCTCAAATCCTCGTCCAGGGATCATAAACCCGGCCTTTTGGATCATCCCCCGGAATTCCTCTTGGCTGGGGAACTGCTCAATACTTTCCACCAGATACTGATAGCTATCCCGATCACCAGCAACCAGGTGCCCAATCAACGGGATCGCACTGAAGCTCCAACGCTTGTAGATCGCATTGAACAGCTCGTTGTCCACCTTGCTGAACTCCATGCACGCAAACACACCACCGGGCTTCAGCACCCGGAAAGCCTCGTTCAACGCTGCCTGCTTGTCCGTAAAGTTGCGAATTCCAAACACCACCGTGTAGAGGTCGACCGAGCTATCCGGGACTAGGGGCATGGTCTGCGCATTGGCTTCCATAAACGATAGACGGTTCGTGTTGTAGTACGGCGTGTCGATGCTGCGCTTCTTCCCTTCCGCCAACATATCCGGGTTGATGTCGGATATCGTCACTCGTGTGTTGCGGTCGTGGTTGATATTCGTAGCGTGATCCAGCATGCGAAAAGCGATGTCGCCAGTCCCGCCGGCGATATCCAGGATATTCCAGCCCTTTCCGGTCGAGTCGGTGTCGCGCGACGGCAGAGCAGACCCGGGGTTCAACGAGCGTACGAAATGGTCTTTCCAGAGACGGTGGATTCCCATCGACATGAGATCATTCATCGTGTCGTACGAGCTGGCCACAGAGCTAAAGACAGCTCCCACTGTTCCGCACCAGTCGCGTTAGCTAGTTCTTGTCCAACACAATCAACCTGGACGAACCCATTGACTCTTTTTGCGCCTCAGGTACATCCTTAAATCCAAAATGCGTCGTCTGTCCATCCTTTCTGGGCTGGTCCTGGGAACGAAGGGAGCAGGAGAAGCACCGGTAGGGCGTCGGAGGTGTCGCCAACCTCCGCTTCGCACTGTAATGCAGACTCCGCCAGAGGGACCGAGACATGGTAAACTATCGCAAAAAAGTGAGTGGGAAAAATATAAAATTAAGAAGACAAGGGTTGCTGAGTCTCGACGAAGAATTGAGAAGGTGGTAGAGGCAGCGGTTGAAACAGCCCTCTTCCTGGAACTTTTTCTGCCGATTGGCGGAAAGTCGTCAATTACCCGAATGGGATTCTACGGCTTCTACAACAGTCCGAGATATATTTCTATTACTATATTCGATCTTGATCAATTGAAGACTGGTATCTTCAAATTCGCACGTATTGTATCCAGGTCTCTCTGGTTGAATCCCAGGTGACTCTTCAAGTACCCCTCAGCTCCCCCTTCAAAAGAGTCGTCAATCGCCTGCAAGAATCCCACCATGGCATTCGCACGGATGTTACATAGCTGCAACATCCCTATACTCTCCGGCCCGACCCCTGAACCTGTATGGAATTGAAGTATCCTGGTCAGGGACGGTCGATGTGCTTCCATTCCGATACGAGTGAGTGTGTAGTCGTGAATTATGGCCTCGCGCGGGCTACCCGTCAGGCAAAGCATCAGTGCTGCCAGTACTCCAGAGCGATCTTTTCCAGCTACAGGTATCCATGAGAATCGCGTGATAACCGACAGAGGCATCAGAACTTACCCGAGCAATGAAAGAGGAAAGGCTCTTGTGGAGCATCCCGAATATGTTCAAAGACCTTCTGGAAAATCGGCCCAGAAACCTTCATGATTTCCAAATACATCTTCGCATACCCGCTAGCACCTTCGTCCTCATAGGCAAAGTCCCTAGGATCAACCGGAACCGGGGTACATGCATACGGCGCCCAGACTGTTTGAATACCCTCAATGTCAGGGCTGGGAGATTGCATGCGCTCCCCTTGGTGGCGTAGGTCGAAGATGGCAGTGATACCGAGCTGGCGAAGGAGAAATACTCTGCCTTCCGGAGAGATATTGCCCAAAGCCCCCGAACGGTAAGCAAAGCCCGGGCGGACTGATGACTGGGATGGGTCGTTGGCATATCCGCTGATGTCTCTGGCATTGACCACTCCCGGAATTGCGACAAAGGGTGGCCGCGACATGATGCTGTCCACGATTTCATTTGGAATCTGGATCCGGATATCTGTCGCGACTAGCTTTGGTATGTTATATTGCGGTTCCATTGCGATCCGAGATTTCGGCTCTGGACTGTTCGCAGTGTTGTCACTTGCCAGATGTGAAGAGCTTACTCCAAAACCTGCACATACAAGATGTCTTTATCATGCCAGTAAGGGGGCTTTATCATAGTATGGCGGAGACAACCTATGAGGAGGCCAATGCCCTCCACGGTCGTCTTCTTCCTCCGTAAGCCTCTTCAGCTCAAATGTAAGATCAGAATGTCTTGTGCAACTAAGCAAGATGGGAACCTCGTCATTGACCGGGAATTTGGATCCAGGGGCACATCGAATTGACATCATTTCTGTCAAACCCTGGGTCGTTCCCAGGAACTTCGAAATTATATCTGCCTCATCATTGAAAGTAGCAAATTCCGTAGAAAGGCCATTGTCTTGTTTGGACTGTCCGAAAAAGGAAAAATTGATAAACACTCTATTCGGTTACGCTCGGCGCCCACATGACGTCGCCCACCGCGAATAGCCGCTCTCCGCATCTGCCCCGGATTCACCTACAGAGCCTCAAGAAGGGCCTCTTCGTCCATCTCCAGCGCCTGCCGGGTTTTGTTTCTCATAATGACATTCATTGAGCATTCATGATGTCTTTGAGTCTTTTTGGACGCCTTCCGCGGGCAGTTCGCGTTCTCCGACCCGCTAGGATCACAGCACGATGGAGCAGTTCGTTATCACAGCGTCCGGGGTCGGATCGGTAGGTGCCAGGACTTTCAGTTTTCTTTCTGGGAATCAGATTGCAAATGAATCAACAGTAACTAAAGAATGATCCCCTGATAGTGTCCAATTTCCCGGTGCCGTAAACAGCAAATTCACCACCGACATGGCGTTTATGAAGCCGTCCGATATGCCTTACATTCCGACCTATAGAGTTATGGATTCAGACGGTGCGCTGGTTGGAACGGATAAGAAACGACCTGTTGATGTCTCGGATCAGGAGATCTTGACGTGGTATAGGAATATGTTGACTGGTGGGTGAAGCCGCTAGCTAGGGATGGATATATAATTGGGACGGGGCTGATGAATATCCAGTGAGCGTCATGGACGGGATCATGTTCGAGGCACAAAGACAAGGTCGTCTGAGCTTCTATATGGTGAGTTACTCTATCGAAAATAATCGGGCGGGCCATTGACATCTCCAGGTATCCGCGGGTGAAGAAGGCATCAGTGTTGGATCCGCAGCGGCATTGACTCCAGACGATACAGTATTCGCACAATATCGCGAGGCAGGAGTCTTTCAGCAGCGTGGTTTTACATTGAAAGACTTTATGAGCCAGCTCTTCGCCAACAAAAATGATAGTGGAAAAGGCCGAAATATGCCCGTGCATTACGGATCTAGTTATCCTCGCAATGTCAGTACCACCTGCGCAAAAAGGAGCGAAAACACATTGACTTACCATCAACCAGCACACAATCTCCTCCCCGCTAGCAACCCAAATCCCCCAAGCCTCTGGAGCAGCCTACGCGCTCAAACTTCAAGCCCTCCAAAACCCTAACGTCCCATCCCGCATCGTCGCCTGCTACTTCGGGGAAGGTGCTGCCAGTGAAGGCGACTTCCACGCCGGCCTCAACATCGCCGCCACCCGTTCGTGTCCGGTCGTTTTCATATGCCGCAACAATGGCTACGCTATCTCCACCCCGACCCTGGAACAATACCGCGGCGATGGCATCGCCAGCCGCGGCCTAGGCTATGGCATTGACACGATTCGCGTTGACGGAAACGACATTTTCGCTGTCTACGAAGCAACAAGGGAAGCGCGCCGTATTGCCCTTGAAGGCGGCGGTCGACCAGTCCTCGTCGAAGCAATGAGTTACCGTGTCTCGCACCACAGCACGAGTGACGATAGCTTTGCGTATCGGGCGCGTGTGGAGGTCGAGGACTGGAAACGCCGCGATAACCCTATCATTCGACTACGTAAGTGGCTGGAGAACCAGGGATTGTGGAATGAAGATCTCGAGCGGGATACCCGCAGTCAGATGCGGAAGTCCGTGTTGCAAGAGTTTGGAGCTGCTGAGCGAGAGAAGAAACCGCCTATCAGGGTGGCTTTCGAGGACGTTTATGAAGAGGTTACCGAGGAACAACAGGCGCAGATGAAGGAGCTTCGGAGAATCCTGGAGACGTATCCGGAGGAGTATGATGTGCGGCAGTTTGAAGATGGGGTGAATAGCCTGTAGTGGTGGGATCTACATATAGTCATAAAGTAACTGACCTGTTTTTTTATGCTGCTCAAAGATGACTTCCTAGCTACCATTAGCCCTCGCTGAAACCCCAGCAAACTCACTGACGAAACATGTTATTCCATTAAGAAGACGTGCAAAAGCAGAACTTTCTGCATCCAACCCCATCAGTTCTCCAACATCCCGGTACCCTTATGATTCATTTAAAAATGACTTCCATCCCGAATTACAATAGCACCCTACAAGCCAACCCCGATTAGCCACAATCCACAAAAAACAGAATATTAGATGTACTTAAACGACTCATCTCCAACTAACAAGCCCATTCCGCTCACTCTCCTCTATCCGCCGATAATTCTGAAAAAAAAAAATACCCAACTTACTGAACATATCTCGTCCTGGTAAAGAGTTTTAGGTACTCCATGGCTGTTTTTATGCCCGCGTGGTATAGAGCAGCATTGGGGTCGTCGAGACAACTCTGTAACTGGGAGATCCTCTGCGTGTATTGGGCGCGTCTTGATTTTGCGCATATTGAGAGTTTCCTAGTCCAGGGCGCTAGGTGAATCGTCACTATCATGTTATTGTTCATGAGGGTCCGGTGAGTGATCGGAGATATCTGGGATAGAACTACCTGCGGACGACAGGGATTGTTAGACACAGGCTCGTCGGAAGAATTATGCTGATAACCTAGCGTTCTTATTGTTAGTACCCTTCTTAGGGCGTAGATAGGGGATATCCCCTTCCATCCAGCAAGACAATGATAACATGATTGTCTGAACACTACAACACAAACCCGAAGACAGCAGCTTACTTCTTATTCGCAAGTCGCACGTTCTTGTGCACAGGGTCCAGTTGCATCTTGTACAAGGCCGCCATATGGCCCACGGGGCAAAACTGATCCTCGGGGGTCTGGTAATCGAATTTGATGACGCCCGGGACAAGGAGCTTAGGGCATATAATCGGACGGCAGATAAATCGTGTATCTAGCCAGTGAGCCAGAGAGATGCCACGAGGCCAATCTGGTGTAGATTGAGAGGGACGTAGAAGTAGTTTGGTGACGGGATGTTGAGGAGATGGAGCGCAGGAGATGTGGATGAGAAGGGGAAAGGGATTTTATAGAATACTGAATAGGGCTAGCTGTGTTAGGGTGAGGAAGACAGTGAATTACATTCATAGTGAAGTGGGTCAAGGATTTATCAGTTGGTAAGATACATGCGTATGCAAATGAATGATTATTACTAGTATTTCTTAAAAACATCAACAACTACTCCAAAAGAGCATATATAAAAGTAACTGTCTACAACCAACCTAACCAAGCACCTCACAATCCTCACCAACCTCACAAACCACCCTCATATCAGCAACACTCTCCCCAATCCAAATCCTAACCCCCTCCCCATTCACCGGTGCCTTCCAATCCTGCACCACCACATCCCACACACTCAAATCCTTTCTCGTAACATCTAGCGTAACAGTCTCGCTCTCCCCGGGACCTAGATTCTTAGTTTTTTCAAATTGACGTAGTTGTAAACGTGGTGTTTCGAGGCCGAGACTAGATGGTAATTCAACGTATAACTGCGGCACGGCACGACCGTTTCGAAAACCGGTGTTCGTAATTTTTGATTGCACAGAAAATGCGATCTCCCAAAGGGCTGGATTTCCGCCTTCTGCGCCGCCGGCGCGAGGGGTGGACTGGGGGGTTGTCGTGTAACCTGATGGGTAAGGGTAGGGCTTAGATGAGTTTGACGCGGCGTTCTCGGGGTGGTCGAGATAAGGGTATAGATAGCGCCAGATGCGGTTGAAGTTCTTTGGCCAGGCAGCCTCAGATGCGGATGGGATTTTGTTGGAGTAGGTTGGGGTTGCGCCTTTGCTGGGACGGGGGGAGGGGTATGCGTCATCTAGCGGTGTGATTACGGAGATTGTAGCGGTCATGTTGAAGGTCGTGTAGGATAGGCCGTGGCCAAATGGGTAGCGTGGGGTGACGTTTGCTTTGAGGAAGTGTCGGTAGTCGATGTAAAGGCCTTCTTCGAAGTTATCCTGGATCTGGACGAATGGTTTGTCGATTAGGTCCACGCTGGACCCATAATCCGACTCTTTGCGGGCTATTGTGTATGGCAGGTGACCACTAGGGCTGTAATCGCCGAAGAGGATGTCTGTCAAGGAAAATCCCGCTTCCTGGCCAGGAAGATGAGCGAGTACAACTGCCTTGACGGAATCAAGCTCGACCCATTCTTCCATTAGGATAGGGCCAACACTATGGATAACCACGACGACCTTGGAGAATTTGTCTGCTGCAGATTTGACAAGGTCGTCTCCGTGGTGCCAGGCGTTAAGACCAGCCACTGAGCGATCTCCTCGGTTGCCTTCGACGATGAGGAAGTTCTCACCAGAGTTGGCATTGATGAATACAAGCGCGATGTCATCGGGGTTGGCCGTCACATCCGAAGGAAAAGAATCCGTAAGATGGAACTCCACGTTGGAGGAGATATTGGCAATAGCCTCCTGGGGAGTAACCAAATACGGAAGTTTGGCGGTACCACTACCCCATCCGGAAACGAGAACACCATTATTACAAGCCATGCTACCGCAAGAATTGAGACCGTTCGAGTTCAGCCCGGCGTCGGTTCCAAATACCTTCAGCGAGTCGTTCCGTCGCAGAGGAAGCACCCCGTCTTCGTTCTTCAACAGCGTGATGGCATCTCTGGCAATCGCTCTGGCAGTAGCGTTGTGGTTGGCTTGCACGTTGACGAATTTGTTCACGACGCCGCTAGGCGAGAAGAGGGCGCCTGGATAGAGGAGTCCCTTTTCCTCTTCAGTGTTGCTGGAGAAGTTGGGGAGTGGGTAGTCTTTGTCCTGTCCAAGTTTGTACCATGTTGCGACGATCCGGGTGACCTATTGTTCTCAGTACCTAAATTACTCGTGCATAGTGCAAAGGACTTACCATGTCATTCAGACGATCGACAGGAAGACTTGCATTGAGGACCGCTTCTGACAGCTTCGGGCCCCAGAAAGAGTCGCCGAACAAAGGAATGGATCCGTCTCCTGGCATGGACCTGGTTTGTCAGTTGTAGTCCGAACCGATAGCAAATGGAGAGACCAACATGTCTAGACCACTCAAGGCACTCTGAACACCAGACTGATGCGCCAACCAATCCGTAAGCACAAAGCCCTGGAAGCCAAGCTCGTCCTTGAGAATGCCATTAAGCAGTTTGCTGTTTTGGCTGGAAGCGGATTGGTTCACCTGAAAAGTCAGCAACAAGAAATTCAATAGTAGATGGTCGACTAACATCATTATAAGCCACCATAACAGATCCAACACCAGCCCTCACGCCCTCCGCAAACGGCCACAAATACAACTCGTGCATTGTACGATCGTCCAAGTTCGAAGAGTACGCCTTGGTAACAACAGAGGTCATCCGATGCAGCTCCTGCTCATTGGCAATGAAATGCTTAATACAAGCGATAGACCCCGTACTCTGCATTCCCTTGATCGTCTGCGCACCGCCAATAGCTTGCAGAGTAGGATCCGCCCCAAATCCTTCCCAGTTCCGACCAGCTTTCGGTTTCCGGCCTAGTGGTCCAACAACGGGGCCTAATTGCACATTGACACCTTTTCCCCGCGACTCCTCGCCTAGCGCGACACCGCGCGCATGCATGAGGTCCTTGTCGAAGGTGGCTCCTACGGTGATACCGGCGGGGAAGAACGTGATGTGATCGGTCGAGGCAACACCCAGCGCAGAGTCCTGGAAACAGAGACTTGGAATTCCGAATCGCGGCGCGCTGCCTGTTTGCCCTGAGCAAGGCCCCATAAAGATCCCCGTACCTGTGGTCAGGTTCACTTTCTCGGCCAGGGTCATATTGCTGACGACCTGTTGCGCTTTCTCATACGCATCAGACCAGGACGAAACCCATCCACCCTTGGGCGCGGGATAATACGGAATAGCCGCATACCCATCATCCGAATCTCTCGCGATCAAAGGAGTGTCTGCCAACGGCGAAGCAAAACCAGTGAAAGAAGTAAAAAGAGAGACTAAGGTCAGATACCCGGAAAGGCGCGCCATATTGGGAAAAGCACTCCCTGCAGCCCTATGCTGGTAAAACGAACGTCAGATTGTGATCCGATCTAGATCCGGGGTGTGGCACGGGTTATATAGAGCGGGTTGTTCATATTAAATATTACCCGCAATGGTCATGGGGCGTCGCTCATCCTAGGATACGGATACCGGACATAGTGACGTATGGGGTTTGGGCCGAAGCATTGGCGGTTTCGACGATCTTGCCGGATGTGTATCCGGAGGTTTGTTTCTTATTTGTACTTAGGGATGTTGTGATATCAAGCGAGGGAGACTTGGGTTGTTCTTCGGAAGCACAAGGCTGGTATGGATGTCCTTATCGGATAGCGGTCAGGAGTACGGAGGGCTAACTCCATGGGGAATAGCGTGAAGTTGTATGCGATAGGTATTCTTGTATACAGAGAAACTGGTCAATTCGTAGCGTGGGTGGTTATTCTACTATGTTTGACTCTGTCTCAAGCCTGACATCAACCGCGCTGATTCAGATGTTCCAACTACCATGGAGAGCCAGTGGCTGCCACAATACTACCGAATAGAATATCGACCGATTAAGCGAGAACAGGAACGGTTCCCGCCTGACGATCGCTCGCAAACTTGTGCAGTTAAGGTAACGGCGTGGCCGCTCAGGGGTTTAGCAAGTGCCAACCGGACAAACGAACACTGGATCAGATTGGTGATGATGCTTTTTTTAGATGCGGGGTGATCGTTTCCGATGACAGTTCGGATTTTCCATGTCTGCATCGGGGGAATTGCAGGCGAGATGAGACTGGGAACGCATGCACACCCGGTGTTTGTCCGATATCGAAGAAATGGCAGGTATCATCACAAAATTGGTTCTCATGAATTCATGACATCTATCAACAAAACATTTAAACAGATTTGAGACATGCAATTACTGGAAAGCACCAGGGAACAGATAGTCCAGACGCTGGCGAGCGTCAGGACTCCACTGAGCCTGGGGAGTGGTCAGACCGAACTTGATAGATCCCTCAATGTGCTTGGCCTGCACAAGGTCGGAGTTTTCGTCATTGGCCAGGGTATCGAGCACAGCCGTGACAAAGCGGCGGGCATTCTCGGCATTGGCCTTCATGTTACCCATAACCATCTCGACAGTCACATCGGCGGTCGACTCGTGCCAGCAGTCGTAGTCGGTTGACATACAAATCATCTGGTAGGCAATTTCGGCTTCGCGCGCGAGCTTGGCCTCGGGGAGACACGACATGTTGATGACGGTGCCACCCCAGGAACGGTACATGTGACTCTCGGCGCGGGTCGAGAACTGAGGTCCCTCTGCGAAGCGTTAATAACAATTGGTCCCCACGGAGTGACAATGATTACATACCCATGCAGATGATAGTGCCCTTGTCATGCAACGTCACACCCTCACCCTCCAAGCTGTGTCCGCACTCTCTCACAACCTTGGCAACCCGCTCATCAAACGGATCCGCAAAAGGAACGTGAGCAACAACACCCTGCTCAAAGAATGTCCAGGGACGGAAACCCTTAGTTCGGTCAATGACCTGGTTCGGCACCACAAAGTCTCGCGGTTTGACTTCCTCCTGCAAGCTACCGACGGCAGAGAAGGCGATGATGGTACGGACACCAATGGAGCGAAGGGCAGCGATGTTGGCACGGGCGGGGACCTCATGCGGCGTCAGCTGGTGGTGAAGACCATGGCGACTGAGGAATGCGACCGCGACGAGCTTGCCGGTGGTGGTGCATTTGTGGTGAAGGATGGTAATCGGCGAGGAGGGGTTGCCCCACGGCGTGGAAATTTCGAGGCTGGCAACCTGAGTGAAGCCGGGGAGTTCGCGAAGACCGGTGCCACCGATCACGGCGATGCGAACGGGGTCTAAAGCATTCAACAGTTAGCATATTTCTTCGTAGGCTCATATCCCAGGTCAAAGTATGCGACAGCGGGGTATCTGTATCTCACCCGCGTAAGTGTCAGGAAGAGCAGCCATTTTCTGCGCCAATTGCTTTGGAGAGTAGATTCGCCGAAGAGGTCTTCTAGAGAGGCTAGAAAGAGAGCGACGAAAAGAAGCAACAACAGGCCACATCCAGCTTTGAATAATAAACCGATGCGAAAAATGAGGCTTTCGCGGGGTTTCCCAATCGGGTTAGTCCACTACCACGTGCCACACGTGATTCGTCTGTTTTGGCGCCATCCTCGACTAAGATGTCTACAAGTACTCTGGACAACATAGTAATACTAGTACTATGAATAGGTATGGCCTTGGGATCATCGGGAACCGAAACGAAATGCAATTCATTAACTATGCATACAGAGTAAACCATACAAATAAAGGAAATGATTATGCTGGCCGCCATTCATAATGATGAGGCCCCTTCTTAACCGGGCCCGGATCCTCTCCAGGAACACCAGGCTTATTATACGCATGTGCCCCGAAAAAGTCCATCTGAGCCTCCATAAACTTGGTCGGTAGCTTTGTGCCACCCTCATACTTTAGGTACTCGAGCGTGGCCGAGATAGCAGGGATATAGTGATCAGACATGACACTCTCAATGACAACCTGTTTCAGGGATTCAAAGTTTTTATGCAATTCTTGCGCGACCTTATCGATAAACTTGATGTTGGTCATTTGCTTGTCGGCGCTAAGTGCTGGCTGCAGGATATCGGCAATGGCCTCGGACTGGATAATACATCCGGCACGCCAGATTTGGAGACACTTGCCGAGATCGATGTTCCAGCCCTCATCTAGGGACGCGCGGGAAATTATTTCGAGACCTTGGCAGAAAGACGCGAGGAAAGCGACGTAGACCGCGCGACGGATGTGCTCGACGAATTCCTTGCGGTTTTTAATGCGCTCGATTGGCTTGGGGGAGGGGACTTGGATTTTCTTCGCGACCTTGACTCGTTCTTCGCGGTTGCCGCTGGAGATTCGCATGTAGTGCGCAGTAGCTAGAGTCGGGGCCGAGACGTGACGGAATGCTGAATCCATGAGGGCCCAGAGTGGGGTGCCTTCGGTGTTGTCGTCGTCTTGGACGACCTTGTCCAGGACGTCGTCTAGCACGTAACCATCTTTATTACTGACGCCTTCGCCTTTGTGGTCGCCTTGGGGAGTGCGCTTGACGTGGCATATTTCAGAACCGATTTGGATAAGGTAGTTGTTTTTAAGCTCGCCTTCCTTGTTCCATTGCTCGAAGATATCTCCGATCTCGTCATAGTTCATTCCCAGGCCGTAATGCAGAAGAGACCAGGCCTCGGCCAGTGTCGACAACATACCACCTTCGATACCGTTGTGAACCATCTTGACGAAGTGGCCGGACCCGGCAGGCCCAACGGCAGTCACACAGGGAAGACCGGTCTTCTTGTCTTTGGCCGAGTAGGCTTCCAACAACGGCATCACGATATTCATAGCCTCCGCATCACCTCCAGGCGACAAACTAGGACCCCTTCGAGCAGATTGATAACCCCCCGAGACACCCATACCGATCCAACTCACACCAATCTCCTTGCACTCCTTCTGTCTCCGCTCCGTGCGTCGATAATTCTCATTGCCGCCGTCGAGAATAATATCACCCTTCTTGAGATCCTTCTTGATCATGCTCAGCACGGAATCAGCAGGTTGGCCATGGGTAATCGAGAACATGAATAGTTTCCGATCGCCCGCGCCCTCGAGAGACCTGGTGAACTCGTCGATATCATGGTATCCCTCGACCTTGGTCTTGATATCCTTGGATGCTTTGACGTTGCCCATGAGCTGATCCAGGTTACCCTTGCTAACGTCCCAGACAGAGACATCGAGGCCAATTTCCGAGAAGGCAAAGACCATCATCGAGCCCATGTTGCCGGCTCCGACGACGCCGATGCGTTTGAAATGTTGGATAGGGTTTGGCGGCATGATGCAGGTACACTGATAAACAAACAGTATGGAAAGACAGTCAGCCTGCTATACAATATTTGAAAAGCAGCTACTTAAAAATGTCTAACAATGTCTTGTGACATCGGGGCCGAGTCCGGTTTATACGGAGAGGGATTACATCATGGCTACCATTTCCGTTGGACGTCACAGATCGATCACCAGCTTTATACCTACCCCAGATTATATATAATGATAGCTTTTGATGTCACTAATCGGACCATTGCTCCGTAAGCTATCAAGATTACATCACCTGGACAAACCATCCGCCATTGAACCCAACTTTTACTTGAAATCGCTTTCCCCCATCACACATCGCCAGTTGAACTAATCCATTATCATCAACCAAACACAGAACAGAATGAGCTCCTACATCAGTTTCGAATCCCTCCGCAACATCCCTCTCTCATATGCCTCCTGCTCAATCGGCACAAAACAATCCGACACTCTCCCCCGAAAACTAGAAGCTATCGCCGCGGCCGGATTCATCGGAATCGAGCTCTCCTTCCCGGATATCCTGGCCTACGGGTCTCAAATTACAGGCAGAGAATTGGGATCTCACGAATATAAGCCGCTCGTCAATGTGACGAAGGAGATTAAGAAGTTGGTCGACTCGAATGGGTTGCAGGTTATGATGTTGCAACCGTTTGGGAATTTTGAGGGGTGGCCGGATGGTTCGAGGGAGAGGGAGGATGCGTTTCGGAGGGTGGTTGGGTGGATGGATATCATGGAGGCTGCGGGGACGGATCTCCTTCAGGTACGCTTCCCTCATGTGCAATCGATATACATACTGATAAGAATAGGTCGGCTCAACCGACGCACCCCCCGGCAGAATAAACACGGACCGCAAAGCCATCGTCTCCGACCTGCGCGACCTGTGTGACCTCCTCGCCACGCGCAACATGCGCCTTGCCTACGAAAACTGGTGCTGGAGCACCCATGCCCCAACCTGGAAAGACGTCTGGGAAATCGTAAAAGAAGTTGACCGCCCCAACGCCGGCCTCTGCCTGGATACCTTCCAGACATCAGGTGGTGAATACGGCGATCCAACAACAGAAATGGGACTTATTAACCATATGTCTCCGACTGCGCTGAACCAAGTATTCCATGCTAGTATGGATGAGTTGGCACGGACGGTGCCTGCGGACAAGATTTATCTGTTGCAGATTAGCGATGCGTATAAGCCGCCGGAACCGCTTTCTGAGAAGACTGTTAAGGGGTTGAGGCCGAGGGGAAGGTGGAGTCATGATTTTAGACCGATGCCGTATGATGGGGGGTATTTGCCTATTGAAGAGGTAGCGAAGGGGGTGCTAAAGACTGGGTTTAGGGGGTGGTTTTCGATGGAGATTTTTGATGGCGGGCCGGATGGCAAAGGGAGGGAGTATGAGATGAATGGGTATGCGGAGAATGCGATGGAGAGTATGCAGCGGTTTTTGAGGAAGTGTTCTACAGATCGGGAATAGTGAGCGCACGAGTGTGGCGAACAGTAGAAAAGGATAATGCTATTAGATATATACATAGTTATGCAGTACAGGTATCGTTATTTCATCAAAGGCAAACTAAGCATTGCTGGGGTATCCAACCGAGTACGTCGGCACAAACTCCTCCTTGACAGATCTCAGCGACACAAACCGGCTCAGCAAGTTAGCACTGCCGGCCTTGTCGTTCGTACCACTGGCACGCGCACCGCCGAAGGGCTGCTGGCCGACAACGGCACCGGTGCTCTTGCAGTTGATGTAGAAGTTACCGGCGGTGTTGCGGAGGGCGTCGCTGGCGCGGGTGATGACATCACGGTCCTGCGCGAAGATGGAGCCCGTCAGGCCGTATTCGCTGGTGTTGTCGATCTTCTGGCAGATGCGCGAGAAGTCCTCCTCGGTGGCGTCGGGGTAGGCGTAGACGACGAGGACGGGGCCAAAGAGTTCGCGGGAGAGAAGGGGGTGGTCGGGGTTGGTGGTGCGGTAGACGGTGGGCTTAATGTACCAGCCCTTGGAGGAGTCGTAGGAACCACCGGCAAGGAGCTCAAGCTCGGGGTCCTTGTTGGCCTCGTCGATGACGCCGGCGAGTTTGTTGAACGAACCCTCGTGGATCACGGGGCCGCAGAAGTTGGTGAAGTCAGACGGCTCACCCTGCTTAAGGGCATTAGTCTCAGCAGCGACCTGGGAGAGGAACTCCTCAGCGCGCGAGGCGGGAATGTAGGCGCGCGAGGTGGCGCTGCACTTCTGGCCCTGGAATTCAAAGGCACCGCGGACGGTCTGGACGGCGGCGTTGCGGATGTCGGCAGTCTTGTGCACGAGGTGGAAGTTCTTGCCACCAGTTTCACCGACGATGCGGGGGTAGCTGCGGTACTTACCCTGGGCGACACCCTGGGCGATCTGGCCGTACAGACTGCGGAAGACAGAAGTGCTACCGGTGAAGTGCAATGCGGCGAATTCGCGATGGTTCAGCACAACGTTGGTAACCTCCTCAGCCTCACCAGGGACGAACTGGATGACGTCGCGGGGGAGACCGGCCTCGACGAGAATCTCGTGGACGAGGTGGTTGGAGGCAATGGCAGAAGGCGAAGGCTTCCAGATAACAACGTTACCCATCAGAGCAGGGGCAGCAGCCAAGTTACCACCAATAGCAGTGAAGTTGAAGGGGCTGACGGCGTAGACGAAACCTTCGAGGGGACGGTACTCGACACGGTTCCAAACACCAGGAGCATTGTGGGAAGGCTGCTGAGCGTAGAGCTCCTCAGCGTACTTGACGCCAAAGCGCAAGAAGTCGCAGAGCTCCGCAGCAGAGTCAATCTCAGCCTGGAAGGCGTTCTTGCCCTGGCCGTGCATGGTCAAGGCCATAACATCGTAGCGGTACTTATGAGCTATGAGATCGGCAGCCTTGAGGAAGATACTGGCACGGTCTGCGAACGAGGTAGAGGCCCATGATTCGCGGGCCGCCAGAGCAGAGTCAACTGCTTTTTGGACTTGTTCAGAAGTGGCGTTGGAGTAGGAGGCGAGGGGAGCGTGTGTGGAGGGGTCGGATTGAGTGAGAGGAGACGAAGGCTTGATTGTCTGGCCGGCGATGACGAGAGGAACGTTCAGAGGGCCGTTCTGCTTGTACTTGGCCAGAGCATCTTGGAGCGACTTTCTGTCGGGGGTGCCGGGGGCGTATGTCTTGTTAGGCTCGTTGTTAACAGTGGGGGCTTTGAATGTGGCATAAGAGCCCATAGAACGGGCGAGGGCCGGTGCCCGGAGTCGCTGAGCACGGAGGAAAAGAGACATTGTGTATAGAAGAGGTATGTGGTTGGTGAGTGGGAGGTACAAGAGGAGGGGAAGCTATATAAATGAGAATGCGGGGTGGTGGCACTATGCAACGCACAGCGTATTATGTATGGACCATGCAGAGTTTTGATACGCACGAACCGGAGAAAGAACAATGTCCGACAACGAAGCACAAGTAACCATGGAATTACGCCCTACAGAAAGAACTTGACAGAGGCAACACCGGGCCGGAGACCGGATCGCCAGATATGGTAATATAGTGCCGGTAACTAACTATGTACTTTGAATAATAGATACAGCAATATAAAATGGATTAGAGGATAGTAAGAGTAATAGAATATAAAAACAATGAGAGAGCATAGAGAAGAGTAGGAATACAATGATAAAACTCACTCTGATCCCCCGCATCTTATGGAGATCTGATAAGATCTACGAGGATAAGAGCATAAAATCGCTCATTCACAGCACGGCGTACAGCCAACTCCATGATATAAAGTCTCTGATATCCCACATCAATGCTTGTTTAGCCTACCAGGAGGACTCAAGATTACTTTTTTCATTATCCAAGTCTGTACAAAGTACTAAGTATCCCACTTGTACTGACCGGCCCGGTTACCGGTGGCTATCTTATCTAATCTGCAGGGAGATCATCGACGGGAATACAGCCGGCATACCGGTAGAGATCCCATGCAGTGCAATGACCGGCTGTGGTCACCAGACCGGAGTATGTCTGTTAGTAAAAGGAAGGGAAAGGGAAAAGGACAGCCGGTGGTGGCAATATATATCCCTTGCCCCTTCCTCTTATGATCCGTAGTTCTGTCAACTATCTCTATCTCTATTTCTACCTATACCGGGCAACATGAAGGCTCCCCGTCTTACTCGATCCCTGGTCAGCCAGGGCATCTCTCTCCCTGTCTCCCCAGTTAAGACAAGAGGAACACAGTCGCTTTCACCAAAGAACGGCTCGCCGCTCGCCAACCTCCCCATCTCCTCCGTCCTGCGGTCTCTAGTAATCCTCTCTATCTCCTCTTCATCCCTCCTCCTTAAACCTTGCATCTACACTCTGTCGCATCTCGCAAACCCCAAGAACCCCCTCATCGATGTCGCCAAAAACCCTCTTCTCAACCGTCTCGTCAAGCATACTCTCTACCGCCAGTTTAACGCCGGTGAGAACAAGCTTGAAGTCCAACAATCTATCAACGATATCAAGCGTCTAGGATACCGTGGTGTCCTCCTGGGATATGCCAAGGAAGTCCTCTCTGACCACGGCAATGCCCTCGAGCTCTCCGAAGAGGCCATTCGCGAAGAGATCCAGATGTGGCTCGATGGTACTCTGCAGACCGTCGATATGGCCCAAGAGGGCGACTATGTTGCATTGAAGTTCACCGGAATGGGTGTTCAAGCTCTGAAATACTTGCAGCAGCAAAAGGAACCATCGAAGTTTATGGATGATTCCATCCGGAAAGTCTGCGATCTAGCTCTATCGCGCAACGTGCGCCTGCTGGTCGATGCTGAAGAACAGGCTGTTCAGCCCGGCATCGAGGATTGGTCTATGATTTATCAGAAATACTGTAACTCTCGTTTCCCCGGCCGCGCCGTCTTTTATTCCACCTACCAGGGCTATCTCTGCTCAACCCCCACCACCCTCGCTCGCCACCTGGAGCAGGCTCGCCAGGAAGGCTACACTCTGGGTGTCAAGCTGGTCCGCGGTGCCTACCTCAAGATTGAACCCCGTCATCTGATCTGGTCTACCAAGGAGGAGACCGATGACTGCTACGACGGCGTTGTCGAGGCCCTCTTGACCCGCCGCTACAACAACATGCTCAAGCCCGCTGTCCAAGATCAGAAAACGCTTCCTCCGGTTAATGTCATCATCGCCACCCACAACCGCGACTCTGTCCGCAAGGCTCATGCTCTGCGCCTGCAGCAGCACGCCGAAAGCCAGGACCACGGTGTTGATCTCAGCTATGCCCAGCTCCAGGGTATGGCCGATGAAGTCAGCTGCGAGCTCTTGCAGGGATTCGAGGATGCAGAGCAAGGAAAGGCCGTCATGGAGAAGCCGAACGTTTACAAGCTGCTTACATGGGGATCGGTCAAGGAATGCATGGGATTCTTGCTGCGGAGAGCGATTGAGAACACCGAAGCTGTTGGACGTACCAAAGACTCGCAGCAAGCGATGTGGAAGGAGTTGCGTCGGAGAGTTTTGGGTTAATTTGTTTCTCTTTCGTTCTTCGTTGATACATTGATACCATTGTTAGTAGTAGTAATTGCATAGCGTGATGAGATACGAATAGCTTCAATTTTACCCCATTCGGGCCCCTCTTTCTCTTATCTTATTTAAACCTCTCCTCCCCTCTTTATCGCCTGCTCCTTCATAATTTCCTTCACTCTACTCAACTCACCAGCGCAATGCACCTCCTCACAGAATCAAACATTGCAACTATCCTCACCTCTCTGACGCCCACTCAAGGCCAGGAATTCCTCAATATTCTCACTCAATCACTCTCTTCAAACACCAACAATGCCATCCACCAACCCGCCAGAACCAGCATTGTAACCGATCAGAGCACCGCTCTGTTTATGCCCGTCTCCAACACCACCACTACCGGAATCAAGATCGTCCATGTGCCCCGCGCCTGTCCCATCGCGGGGGTCATCAACCTGTTTGACCCGGAAAATGGCCACTTGCAAGGCGTCTTAGGTGCAGCAGAGATAACAGCCTTCCGCACGGCCCTGGCGACCATGACACTGTTCGTGCAAGCTACAGGCGAACAGACGGGGATTAAACGAGAGAACATTGTGGTCTTTGGTTCCGGACGCCAGGCGGAATGGCATGCCCGATTGGCACTGCTCCTCTCCCCTCCCGGGAGTGTCCAATCCATTACGTTTGTGAATCGTGGGCGCGCTCGGTTACAGGCGCTTGAGAAGGAGGTGTTTCCGGTGCTGCGGGGGGAGTATCCGGGGGTGACCATGAATACTTTGTCCCAGGAAACTCTTTCTCAGGATGTTTACGAGGCTCGTCTACAGGGTCTTTTGGGAGGAAGTGATGTTATCTTCAGTTGCACTCCGGCTACGAAGCCTAACTTTCCTTTCGCTTATCTCCAACAACACCCGAAACGGCGTTTTCTCGGCTTGATTGGATCTTACAAGCCGCAGATGCAAGAGATAGACACTGAGACTTTGTTGTCCGGTGGCGGTGGGAAAATCTATGTAGACTCCAAAGAAGCATGTCTGGAGGAATCCGGCGAATTGATTCGGGCGGGCGTGACTGAGGATCAGTTGGTGGAGATTGGCGAGGTGTACGGAGGATCCTCCGCTGTGCAGATAGAGACCAACAGCAACGTGGTGTTTAAATGCGTGGGCATGGGGCTTATGGACCTAGTCATTGCCAAACAAGTACTAGAAGTAGCGATCAGACAAGGCCAAGGCATGAACGTGGAGGGATTTGCCTAAATGAGTAAATATGAAGTTATACACAGTGTACCACGTTTTTTGCACTCACGTGCCGTCCCCGAATTTTCTCCAACTCTCCGTATCGCACACTTTTCACTTGTACCATAATTCGATGCCTTAACTAAACATATATCTCATTTATATAGAGCAGACTATGCTCAAAGATTCTGAAAATGGAGAGTCCTTCGCAAGGGCAGTCTAAACGGCCTCGTGTCTCTGACGAGAACCGCAAGCGCGCTGTCAGAGCGTAAGCCTATACCTATCTACCATGTATTATACTTATCTAACTCTATAAACTAGATGCGATGGGTGTCGCCGCGTCAAGGAAAAATGCGAAGGTGGCGTCCCCTGTCGTCGCTGCACGCGCTATCGTCGCCAGTGTCTTTTCACTCAGCAAGAACAGCCGTCGCGGTCTTCGTACGTCCCTTATCTCTATCTAAACACTGGTCCATATTAACAAGCGCAGCGAGGACGATCGAGTGCACTATATGGAACGCATTCTGCATCACTATGTTCCTCATTTATCGCTGGATCTGCCGTCGCTGCGCACCGCGGCGGAGAAGCTGAACCAGCATCATCGCGGGTCCTCGGTCGATGTCGAGGATCTGGAGGATTTGACTATCGACGATGAGGATTTTGTTATCAAGCCTATGCCGGATAATACGACTCGTATGTTTTTTTTTTTTTTTTTTTTTTTTTTTTTTTTTTTTTTTTTTTTTCCGGCGTCGAAACTGGGATGCTGCAGTGCTAATTGAATAGAGTATTCTGGGGAATTCTCGTATCTTAATTTTTCGATGAAAATTCGGCAGAAAATCGATGAATGGATTAAGGCGGCTGTGCCGGAGGTACCTTTCAACTCTCTATTTGCGAGGAATATGTCTAACTGTCCAGGCTTCTACCGAAACTGAAACATTCGAAGACCACTGGCGTGCGACACAGCTTCAATCTGGCTCATCCCTGGTGGCTTCCGTCACCTGTCTTCCGCCACGTTATGTGGCCGATTTCCTCGTCCAGATCTTCTTCAAATATGCACAAACTAACAACTTCTACGTCGAAGAAGAATGGCTCCTCGACAAGCTCAACATCTGCTATACGGACCCCTCAGCACTAGCCCCCGACGATGCAGGCTCCGTCTGTGCCATCCTCATGGTTCTCGCCGTCGGCACTCAGTTTGCGCATATGGAGTCACCGACACCAGTTAACCAGTTATCAGAGGATCACCGGTTCTCTGAAGATGAGGTCGGATTGACTTTCTATCAGTTTGCGAGCAAGTTGCTACCAGACATCATTGCAACTACGTCTGTGAGGAGCGTGCAGGCTTGTTTGCTTATTGGAACTTATTTGCTTCCGTTGGATACTTCTGGGCTTTGTTATACGTATTTTGGACTTGCGCTGAAAATGGCGATCCAGAATGGTATGCATCGACGGTATCAGGGGGAGGGACTTTCGAGAAGAATGGTTGAGGTGCGAAATCGGGTTTTTTGGACAGCTTATACTATTGAGAAGTATGCATTTCTCTTCTTCTCCCCTTCCCCTGAAGGTATTTTGTTAACGATCAAACAGACGTGTGAGCATTCTCCATGGGCGACCAGTCTCGCTATCAGATTCAGACGTCGATGCCGCTCTGCCAACAGACTTTCCCGGTCTCATGCCTTCCGGACAAGTCTCCAACCATACCAACATGGTAACCTTGATCAACCTGACGTTAAAATTAGGCCAGGTTGCTCATGAAATGTATGCCCGCCATCACCTGACTCATTGCCCTCTTCTGACGATAACAACCAGATCATCACTCCGCAAATTCCCCAAAGGCCAGCAGCAGGACTGCCTAGAACGCCTTCTAAACATCCGTAAAAACCTCGTCGAGTGGTGGGCCACTCTCCCTGAAGTCACCCACTGCAGAGACCTCAACCCAGCAAACCCTCTCTTCCGCTCGAATGTGCACCTAAAGCTCGACTACTGTCTCACGCGTGTCTGGATCGGTCGTCCGTTCCTCTTCAGCAATATCCGTGGCGTCAATCCCGTCCCGTCACAGGGTTCAAATCCGCCGTTCAAAATGACATCTGGCACGTCCAAGAACAGAAACATCCTCGTCACCGACTGCGTCGAGGCTGCGCTAGAAATTGTCGACTTATGCCGTCTCCTCCGCGACGAAGCCGGCCTCGCCCGCGCTTCATTCACAGAATTCAGCTCCTGCCGCGCAGCACTCCTAGTCATCCTCGCACAAAGTCTAACAAAGCGCACCGAGCGTCTCCGCGAAGCATTAGACAAAGGCATGGGCCTGATAAAGATCATGTCTATGGGCGTAGGCTCCGCCCGGTCTGCCGTCAGCGTCATCGAAGCCCTCGAGCGCGCTATCCGCCGACTAGAAGAATGGAGCTCTACCCAAAGCGGCACTAACAACCCCGGAATCGTTGAGTCCGCATACGACCGTTTCAAGAACTGGGAAATGCTCTGGAAATCTGGACCCCTCTCACCGAGTTCCGTGTTCGCATCTGCAGCAAGCAACAACGGTAGCGGGAATGGGAACAACAACGGTACCACACCATTACCAGTCACTCCTATGATACCCAATATCTCCCCGCCTCCTCACACAGATACCATCTCAGATGCTAACCACAGTCCTGATGATTTCCCTGGCCACCATCACCATCACCACCATCACACGGTATCATCTGATTTCTCGCCGATTGGGATCCCGACACTCCCGCATTTCGGGTTCGATCATTTTGTTTCGAATTTTCCGCAGGAGTTGGATGAGTTTACGGCGATTCCATGCTTTGAGACGGATCCGGGTGCGCAGCAGCAGCCGGGGCAGAATCAAGGCCAGCAGCGAATGGGACAGGGTCCTGGGCATGGTCACGGGCAGAGTCAAAGCCCGCCGGGGTTGGAGTTGGATAATCGGTGGATGCAGTTTATTAATAATGACTAATTTTCCTTTGCGGTCTTGGTCGTTATGAGTTATGGTCATGTTATGGTTATGTGATTGATGTTTATTTGCATGGATGGATATGTGGATATGAATTTGATGAGGATATGGATATGAGTGGATATATATGCGAGATACCTGATTTGTATATGTATTGAACAAGCTTGACATCATAACACGACCTCTATACTTCGTACGTCTAATCAAAAGTAACCTTCTTCCCCTTAAACGCCGCCGTACTCGCCTGAGCCTCCTTCGCCTTCCGAGCCGCCTCCCACGACGGATGCATCGGTTTATCATCCACGGGCTCCTTCCTTTTATTCTCACCATCTCTCTGAAGCCTGTTCCCCCTCATCTCCCTGTTCGCACCAGTCGCAGCCCCCTTACCACCACCTGTAGCACCTCTGCGTACATCCCACCCACTATCCCGATTCCTCTTCTCCTTAGCAGCCTGCATCTTGACGTGATTCGCGCGCGAACCAAATTTCTTCTCCCAGAGTGCGCGACGGGCTTGTTGGCCCATGCGGTTTTTGCGGCGTGGTTGGGAGTCTTCGTCGTCTGAGGGCTCGGATTCGGAACCAGAGACATAACCGCCCATTGAGAGAGAGGGGAGGAAGGTTGTACTTGTTAAAGGTTCTTTGGAGGAGGCGGCTTTGGTTTTTGTTTTCTTGGCGGGGGAGGGTTCTGGTTCGGGAGAGGCTGAGGGTGAGGGTGAGGGTTCTGATTCGAGGTCGAGGTCGAGGTCGGGGGATGAAGAGCGCGAGGGGGAAGGGGAGATAGCCATTGGGTCGAGACGATCGTTGTCGTCGTCGGATTCGGATTCGGAGTCGGAGCCGGCGAGGCGGGAGTTGAATTGTGCGAAGTCTTCGGAGTCTTCGCTGCCACTTGCAGCTTCTTCGCCCATGTCCGTATCGATATCTCTCTCCTCAACTGCATCCTCATCCTTGACCTTGTGCTTGGACTGCTTGCCCTCCTTACCCTCACTGTCCCCCCGCGGAGCACTCCCCGAAGTAACATTCTTCTCCTGCTTTCCTGCCGGGGCGTCCAACCCCAAAAGCTTCCTAAACCCCTCCATAATCCCCGGAAACACCTCCTTCACCGGATTCGACTTGTACAATCTTGCAAGCACATTCCCCTCTGCCGCACTCTGCGGCCCATCAAGCGAAATATTCTTTTTCAAGTTCTCCCGGAAGTAAATGAACGCAGGTGCCTCGGCGATACGCTTCGTGCGCGCGAGTTGTTTGAGAATGTATTTGCTTGCTGTTTTGTCCATGTCTAGTGCCTAGTTACAATCAGCATGCACACCCCTATAAACTTGTGATACCAATAGGATATGGGTAGGTACCTTGAGAATCTTATTCTCCTCCTCTATCCTTCCCACCGTCCCTGGCTTCGCGCCCTCCTCTGAGCGGGCCTTTTTCCCCCGTCTCCCCATCTTCTGCTTCTCGAAGCCGCGTGAGACTTTCAGTGCGCGCGAGAGGACGTTCACTTCATAATCGAATTTGACGGAGAGGCGGTTCGCGATGCGGCCGGTTGCGTCGTTTGTGACAGTGGGTTTGGTGTCGAGGTCGGAGTGTTTGCGTTTTGGCATGTTGGATGATTATGGTATTGAGAATGAGTATTTATGAATTGATATGGGTGTGATAAATCCGACGAAAGTGAAGTACAAAAATGCTAAACGAGAAAGAGCTGGCGGAGTAGAAATCTTATCGGGAAGATTTTCTTCGGTGCCAAGACCGCCCTACAGCATTGTTACTACGCAGTACATACATAATAGAATACTACTGATTGGCAATTGAAGATATGTACAAACAAATACGAATACATTCACTAATCTATTTCTTTTCCTCGGGGTTCTCCTCGGGCTTGGGAGTAGCCAGTTTGAACTGCACTTGTCAGCATACCATCAATGCCATTTAGCAAGGGGAAAGGAAACGCACCGACTCAGGCTTGTCATCACGGCCTGGTCCAACAGGCTCCCATGACGTCGAACCGCTCTCAAAGTTCCGGAACGCCTGCGTAAGTTCAAGAGGCTCAATGACAATCCGCTTTTTCTCCTCATCATAACGCAGCTCGGTATACCCGGTCAACGGGAAATCCTTCCGCAACGGGTGACCATCAAAACCGTAGTCGGTCATGATCCGACGCAGATCCGGGTGTCCAGTGAAGAACACACCATACATATCATACACCTCGCGTTCGTACCACAAAGCACCCTCAAACAATCCTGTCACACTGGGCACAGGGGTCGCCTCATCCGCGTAGGTCTTGACGCGAATCCGCGAGTTGTAGCGGACACTAAGCAGATTGTAGACGACCTCGAAACGATTGTCCTTGGTCGGGAAGTCGACGGCGGTGATGTCAGAGACCTGGGTGTATTCGGCCGCGGTGTGGTACTTCAGGAAGGTCATGACGGGGATCAGACCGGTGGGGGCGGCATTGATGATCAGCTCGTCCTTCCACACGGAGAATTGTTGGACGTATTTCGGAAGGCACGACATGATGTACTGGCCGTATTTGTGCAGGCTTTCGGCTTTTTCGAGGTACTTGTCGGCAGGGTTTACCACGGGGGCGCGGAGGGGACCCGCAGCTAACCAAACATGTCAGCATATTCTTATCAAAACAGAAGCATATTAAGGCGTACGCGGACGCTGCGCCGTGCGCATGTTGGGGACATCGGGCTCCGTGGGCGAGAGCTTCTCAGCATACTGCAGAGGGGTTGTTGTGAAAGCGCGGACGCCCCGGGAGACGGCCAGAGAACGGCCAGAGCCCAGCCGCATAAGAGAGCGTGCAGAGGCCATTGTGCGGGACCGAATTGCGGCGATTGAACAGCGACAGAGGAACAAGAGGAGCTGGGAGCTTGACTGGCAGCCAGAGCGGGAATCTGGAGTCGAAAGTTGGCGAAGGCGGTCACGTGGGCGTTGGATGAATAACGCGGCGTTTATTGGTGGACAGGAAGCAAACCATGCAAACGACCAAAACTACACAAACAGCGGCCCAGAACTTCGTTTCTTCTTCGCCTCAAACTCTCCTCTTTCCGCCTCTCCTTCTCTCTTCCCCACGTCGTCGTCTACACTCTTCTATTCCTGCTTGTTTTCTCTCTTCCTTTATTTCTCTCCCCCTACACTCTTCCTTTCCGGTTTTCCTATCTCCCTTTTTGTCGTTTTCTCGGTGTTGGCGTTGTGGACTTGGTGGTCTTTTTAAGTCGTTCACAGTCTTCATTCACATTTGGCAACAATGTCGAGCCGTCTACAAATCGACTCCGTCATCGATGATGACGATGAGTTCTGGTATGCTGGTTGATTCCACTTTGGGGCTACTGCAACTGACATAACGTTTTCTAATATAGCCCCCTCTGCATTGAAGAGCTCGATCTGTCGGACAAAAACTTCAAACCCTGTCCCTGTGGGTATCAGGTACGTTCCTCGCGTTTTCCGTTTGAAAATACTCGAAATACCTTTCTATTTGCGTTTGCCTGTTGCTCAGCTCTAATATGTTCTGACATGACTAGATTTGCCAATTCTGTTACAATAATATCAAAACCCACAGCGAAGAAGGCCGATGCCCCAACTGCAGACGCCCTTACGATGAAAGCACTATACAATATAAGGTTCCCGATGCAGACGAGTACGTAAACCCCTCTCGCGATTCTGTGTTTCCGAGCCCCGCTAACGCATTCACTCTTCCGCATAGGTTCAAGGCGGACTTGGCATTGAAACATCGCAAGGCTGCGGCCGCAAAGAAGAAAGAGGTTGAAAAACGCGAAATCGAGGCCTCCAGTCGGAAGAATTTGGCTGGTGTCAGGGTCGTGCAGAAGAACCTGGTGTATGTGATCGGCCTTAACCCCACAATACGCGACGAGAACCAGCTCCTCCAGACACTTCGTGGACCGGAATACTTTGGGCAATATGGAGAGATCGAGAAGATCGTTGTTAGCAAGGCAAAGCCCGGTGGCAATCCCAATCAGGGCATAGGCGTCTATGTTACCTACGCCACCAAGTTGGATGCCGCAACGTGTATTGCCGCTGTGGACGGATCGGCGAACGGCGATCGGGTCCTCAGGTGCGTTCCCCTTTGGTTCTCCCCTTGCCGCTTTGCAAGCCATTAACATCCCGCAGGGCGCAATACGGCACGACGAAATACTGCTCTTCATTCCTTCGCAATGAACAATGTAATAATCGCAACTGTACCTTCCTCCACGAGACCGGCGAAGACAGCGATAGCTATACTCGGCAAGATCTGTCCTCGATGAATACGATTTCCACTCAACGCTCAGGTCATACTAGTGGTCCCCCCAACGGTCCCGGCAACGGTATTCCTCCGCATGTCGCCCGCTCATCGGCCCAGCCAATTTCTCAACCCCTACGTCGGCAACCCAGCAAGGATGACGCAGCCAGCCGCCCGCCAGATGGGCCCGCTCTCCCGTCATCCGCAAGCTGGGCGAACAAGGATGCTCCGATCAACCGTGCACGAAGAGGTAGCTTGACTGGCAGCCAGCCTTCACAGAGCCCGCGCCCCGGCATTGCTACTGCTACCCCTGCTGCGGAGGAACCGAAACGCATTGAGAAGCAGCCACCCACCACCCAAGACAGTCGTCAAACTTCGTCGCCGGCAGATGCACGATCTTCCCCTTCCGTAACGTCTCGTAAAGAGAAGTCCGAGAAACCGCCTGCAGACCCTGAAGCTCCGCTGCTGGAAAATCTTCTAAATGCAGTCAATTCTCCTAGTTTCAAATTCGTCTTTTCGACAGCAGGGTTATCTGCAGAAGATTTAGCATTGATCGAGAAGCATGCCTCATTCATCGATCCGTACGGAGGTGTTAAACGCAGGGCGATGCGGGAAAAGGCCGAGCAGGAACGTGCGAAACGGGAGCAGGAATTGCTTCTCTCCACCACTGTTGAAGACGAGGGTAGAGAGAGTGGGAGTCTCCAGCTCGGTGGTGAGCCAGATGATGCGCTTCCTGTTAGGGGCAGGGAGACCCGTGAATCTCACGGTGCCATCCAGCCACCATCCCAACAAGGCACTACCGATAACTCTGTCGTTGGCTCGCCTATTTCAGCAACGAGCAATCAGTTCCAAAACCTCAACCTCCAAGGTCGCAGCCTAACGCCCCTTCAGCAACAGCAGTTGATGCTTCTGAAGTCTGCCAACAATCAGCAGGCTGGTTTGGTGGATCCTCTGCAAAGTGCTGCGTTTGACCAGGCGGCCCAAGCTCGGAACAATCTTCTTCAAAACCAGTTAGCACAATACAATGCGTTGCAGGCACAGAATCGCCAGTCTCGGTTTTCTTTTGCCAACGAGGCCAATGCCAAAAACCTTCCCAACGCCCGCATATTGAACCAGCAGGCGCAGCAGGCACAGCAGGCGTCTTTGATGCAATCTGGGACTCCAAATCCGCTGGCCGCGCCCACTCCCCAGCACGGACTTGCCAACAATTACTACACCAGTGGAGTCCAGGGTCCTCCTCCGGGCCTGAAGACTGCTGGAACTCCTCCCATTAGCGGAGGCGGGATGTTCGCCCAAGGCCATGGGTTCACAAACGCCAATCTTGCCAACCTCGGAAAACAGGATGCCAATCCAGAGTTAATGCGTGAGCTGCTGCGTGGTCGCAGTGGTACGAGTACCGGTGGTTTACAGAGCCAGGAGGCTGCGAAGCGTGAGTTTCTCTTTCCTTTCCTTCAACAGCACCAAACCCCCCCTCCCCTGACTCCCACGAATGGCCTTCTCAGCTCTTTCTATGGCAACCAGACGGGGGCATACCCCGAAACTGGGCCACAGAAGCAGAAGAAGAAGGGGAAGAAGCACAGACACGCTAACACTTCCTCCGGTGGAGGCGGTGTAGTAGATCTTGCGGACCCGAGTATTTTGCAGGCAAGAATGCACCAAGTCGGTGCCAATGCTACTGCTGGACAGGCACTCTATGGGAGTCAGGGACAAGGTGGGTACAATCACTCCATGATGTATGGAGGCGGATTCAACCGCTGGTGATTGTTGTACCCCTTTCTTTTCCTCTTTATTCTTTAATTTCCCTTTAATTCCCTCTGTTCTTCTATTCGTCATTATCAATTTTCTTGCATTGTGTTTACTTCGTCCCCCCTATCTTGATTTACGACATGATATCATCCTGTTTCTGTTTCTTCTTCAAATGGGTGCAGGATATGAGCTTTGTTTTCTTATTCGGATTTGATGCAATTTTGATACTACAGCGTTTTTATTATTTCTGTCACGAAGCATTTGGGCAGACGGCTCTTTGAAAAAAACAAAAACCAGTTAGGGCTAGGCGTGCCTCTGGCGTTCTCTACCATCCTGTTTCATTACTTTTTTCTTTTTTTCTGTTTTCCGAATGTCATCCCCGGAGATGAGAAGGGGTCATCACATCTTATGAAGTTTTCATGTCTTTCGAACCCGCCTTGACCCAGGTGGTCATCGTATTATGTTTCTTCTTACTTTTTGCATCCGGGCTGGATTTGTCCGTCGGCATCTTGATAATTCCCGTTTATGGTTTTATGTACGTTAACCTCCCTGCCCTGATGTTGTCATATACGGAGACAGGGCCTCTTATCGGAAACCTATTTCTCACAATAACTGTTC